CTCCACCTGAGTGTTCCCTTCTCCTCCACCTGAGTGTTCCCTTCTCCTCCACCTGAGTGTTCCCTTCTCCTCCACCTGAGTGTTCCCTTCTCCTCCACTCAGTGTTCCCTTCTCCTCCACCTGACTGTTCCCTTCTTCCTCCCACCTGACTGTTTCCCTTCTCCTCCACCTGAGTGTTCCCTTCTCCTCCACCTGAGTGTTTCCCTTCCTCCTCCACCTGAGTGTTTCCCTTCTCCTCCACCTGGGAGTGGTTCCTTCTCCTCCACCTGGGAGTGTTCCTTCTCCGCCCCTGACTGTTCCCTTCTCCGCCACCTGAGTGTTCCCGTTCTCCTCCATCCTGACTGGTTCCCTTCTCCTCCACCTGGAATGTTGTTTCCCTTCTCCTCCACCTGAGGTGTTTCCCGTTCCCTCCACCTGACTGTTCCTTCTTCCTCCCACCTGCTGTTCCCTTTATCCTGCCATCCTCCACCTGAAGTGTTCCCTTCTTCTCTCACCTGACTGTTCCTTCTTCCTCCACCTGGGATGTTTCCCTTCTCCCCACCTGATGTTCCCTTCTCCTCCACCTAGGTGTTCCCTTCTCCTCCATCCTGACTGTTCCCTTCTTCCTCCACCGACTGTTCCCTTCTCCTCCACCTGATGTTTTTCCCTTCATCTCCCCCCTGACTGTGGTTGGTTTCCCTCTCCGCCACCTGACTGTTCCCTATTCTCCTCCCCTGACTGTTCCCTTCTCCTCCACCTGACGTTCCTTCCTCCTCGCACCTACGTGTTTCCCTTCTCCTCCACCGAGGTTCCCTTCTCCCCACCTGTTGTTCCTTCTCTCACCTGAGTTTTCCTGCTCTCCACCTGGTAGTTGTTCCCTTCTCCTCCACCTCATGTCCCTTCCTCCTCTCCTCCCACCTGAGTGTTCCCTTCTCCTCCACCTTGAGTTTCCCCCCGTCTCCCTTCTCCTCCACCTGACTGTTCCCTTCTCCTCCACCTGAGTGTTCCCTCTCCCCACCTGGGATTGTTCCTTCTCCTCCACCTGACTGTTCCCTTCTCCTCGCCCCTGAGTGTTTCCCTTCTCCTCCCTGACTGTTTCCCTTCTCCTCCACCCTGACCTGTTTTCCCTTCTCCTCCACCTTACTGTTTTCCCCTTCTCTCTCCTCCACCTGACTGTTTCCTCTCCTCCACCTATTTGTCCCTTCTCCTCCACCTGAGTGTTCCTACTCCTCCACTGGAGTGTTTCCTTCTCCGTCCACCTGAGTGTTCCCCTACTCCTCCACCTGGGAGTGTGCTTCTCCTCCACCTGGGAAGTGTTCCCTTCTCCGCGCATCTGATGTTCCGCTTCTCCTCCCCTGACTGTTCTCCTTCTCCTCTCCTCCACCTGAGTGTTTCCCTTCTCCTTCCTCCACCTGAACTTTCCCTTCTCCTCCACCTGACTGTTCTCCTGTCTCCTCCACCTGGGAGTGTTCCCCATTCTTCCTCCACCTGTGTTTTCCCTTCTTCCTCCCCTGGACTGTGTCCTCTCCTCTCATTCTCCTCCTCCACTGAGTGTTCCCTTCTCCTCCACCTGAAGTGTTCCCTTCTCCCCTCCACCTAGTGTTCCCGTTCTTCCGCCCACCTAGTGTTTCCCTCTCCTCCACCTGAGTGTTTCCCCTACTCCCTCACCTGGAGTGGGTGGGTGGGGTGGTGTTTTTCCCTACTCCTCCACCTTGAGTGTTTCCCTACTCCTCCACCTGGGAGGGTGTCCCGTCTTCCTCCCACCTAGTGTTCCCTCCTCCTCCACCTGATTGTCCCTTCTCTCCACCTGAGTGTTCCCTTCTCCGTCCACCTGACTGTTTCCCTTCTCCTCCCCCTGAGTGTTCCCTTCTCCTCCACCTGGGGTGTTCCCTTCTCCTCCACCTGAGTGTTCCCCTTCTCCTCCCCTGCGACGTTCCCTTCTCCTCCACCTGGGAGTGTTCCCTCTCCTCCCCCTGCTGTTCCCTTCTCCTCCACCTGGAGTGGTCCCTTCTCCCTCCACTGAGTGTTCCCTCTCCTCCAGCCTGAGTGTTCCCTTCTCCCTCCCTCCACTGAGTGTTCCCTTCTCCTCCACCTGACTGTTCCCTTCTCCTCCACCTGAGTGTTCCCTTCTCCTCCACCTGACTGTTCCCTTCTCCTCCACCTGAGTGTTCCCTTCCCCACCGGGAGCGTTCCTCTCCCCACCTAGTGTTCCCGTTCCTCCTCCACCCTGCTGTTTCCCTTCTTCCTCAAACCCGTTGGGAGTGTTTCCCTTCCCTTCTCCTCCACCTAGCCTGTTCACCTTCTTCCTCCACCTGGAGTGTTTCCCTTCGCCCCACCTGACTGTTCCCTTCTCCTCCACCTGTGTTCCCTTCTCCTCCACCTACTGTTCCCTTCTCCTCCACTGATTGTTCCCTCTCCTCCACCTGCACTGTTCCCTTCTCCTCCCACCTGAACTGTGTCCCTTCTCCTCCACCTGGGATGTTCCTTCTCGCTCCACCTGTGTGTTTTTTTTTTTTTTTTTGTTTTTTTTTTTTTTTTTTTTTTTTTTTTTTTTTTTTTTTTTTTGTTTTCCCTTCTCCTCCACCTGAACTGTTTCCCTTCTCCCTCCTCCACCTGAGTGTTCCCTTCTTCTCCTCCACTTGAGTGTTTTTCCCTCTCCTCCACTGAGTGTTCCCTTCGCCTCCACCTGAGTGTTCCCTTCTCCTCCACCTGAGTGGTTCCCTACTCCTCCACCTGGGAGTGTTCCCTACTCCTCGCACCTGAAGTGTTCCCCTACTCCACTCCCTCCCACTGGGAGTGTTCCCTTTCTCCTCCACCTGAAGTGTTCCCTTCTCCTCCACCTGAGTGTTGTCCCTTCTCTCCACCTGAGTGTTTCCCTTCTCCTCCCCCTGACTGTTCCCTTCTCCTCCACCTGAGTGTTCCTTCCCTCCACCTGTGAGTGTCCCCTTTCTCTCCACCTAAGTGTTCACTTCTCCTCCCACCTGACCCGGTTCCCTTTCTCCTCCACCTGGAGTGTTCCCTTCTCCTCCACCTGACTGTTCCCTTCTCCTCCACCTGGGAGTGTTCCCTTCTCCTCCACCTGACTGTTCCCGGGCTCCTCCACCTGAGTGTTCCCTTCTCCCTTCTCCTCCCCTGAGTGTTCCCTTCTCCTCCACCTGAGGTTTCCCTTCTCCTCCACCTGAGTGTTCCCTTTCCCCACCTGACTGTTTTCCCTTCTCCCTCCACCTGAGTGTTTTTTCCCCTTCCCCTCCACCGGGAGTGTTCCCTTCTCCTCCACCTAGTGTTCCTTCTCCTCCACCTGAACTGTTTCCCTTCCCTTCTTCCTCCCTGATGTGCCCTTCTCCTCACCGGACTGTTCCCCTTTCTCCTCCACCTGAGTGTTCCCTTCTCCCCACCTGACTGTTCCCTTCTCCTCACCGACTGTTCCCTTCTCCTCCACCTGGGAGTGTTCCCTTCTCTCCCCTGTTGTGTTCCTTTCCTCCACCTGATGTTCCCTTCTCCTCCTCCACCCTTATTGTTCCCTTCTCCTCACCTGAGTGTTCCCTTCTTCTCCTCCACCGATGTTTTCCCTTCTCCCTTCTCCTCCACCTGAGTGTTCGCCTTCTCCTCCACCTGTGAGTGTTCCCCTACTCCTCCCACCTTGGAGTGTTCCCTACTCCTCCACCTGGAGTGTTCCCTACTCCTCCACCTGGGAGTGTTCCCTTCTCCTCGGGCAACTGAGTGTCCCTTCTCTCCTCCCCTGAGTGGTTTCCCTTCTCCTCCACCCTGATTGCCCTTCTCCTCCACCTGACTGTTTCCCTCTCCGCCACCGGAGTGTTTCCCATTCTCCTCCACCTGGGAGGTTCCCTTCCCTCCACCTGACCTGTTTCCCTTCTTTTTTTTTCCCCCTCCTTCCTGGGAGTGTTCCCTTCTTCCTCCACACCTGACTGTTCCCTTCTCCTCCACCTGGGATGTTACCCTTCTCCTCCAACCTGGTGTTCCCTTCTCCTCCACCTGAGGTGTTCCCTTCTCCTCCACTGAGTGTTCCCTTTCTCCCCTAACCTGACTGTTACCCTTCTCCTCCACCTGGGAGTGTTCCCCTTCTCCTCCAACCTGACTGTTCCCTTCTCCTCCACCTGGACTGTTCCTTCTCCTCCACTGACTGTTCCCTTTCGGCCTCCACCTGAGTGTTCCCTTCTCCCTTTCTCCTCCCACACTGACTGTTCCCTTCTTCCTCCACCTGGACTGTTCCCTTTCTCCTCCACCTGAATGTTCCCCCCTTCTCACTCCCCCTGACCTGTCCCGTCTCCTCCACCTGGACTGTTTCCCTTCTCCTCACCTGAGGTATTTCCCTTCCCTCCCACACTGACCTGTTTCCCTTACTTCCTCCACATGACTGTTCCTTCTTCCTCCAACTGACTGTTCCCCTTCTCCTCCACCTGATGTGTTCCCTTCTTCCTCCACCTGAATGTTCCCTTCTCCTCCACCTGACTGTTCCCTTCTCCTCCACCTGACTGTTCCCTTCTCATGTTCTTTCTTTGTTTCTTCGTTCATTCATTCATTCTCACCATCTGTTTTCTCGATCTCTCTCTCTGCAGGTACTCTGGCTCAGTGGGTAATTTCGTGGTTATGGGTGGATTCCAAGCCCTCATGAAGCCCTCTGTGTAAGTCAACCTCACCCCAGTTACACTAACCGTATTGACTTACTCATCAGTAACAGTTTATTCATCAGGTCGAAACTCTCTACTTCTCTTTTTTTAAAGAATGTATTGCTTTTTGCAACGTGCAACAATGTGTGATAGGAATGTGTCTCGGTGTTGAGCAACAGTGTAACAACAGAACACAACAAGATACGTTGTAACATCATTCAACCTAGTCAGCCATCTACCAATGTATTTTTCCAAAACAATTTCAACCTGAATGCATCCAATAGGATACAGGAGTTGAGGGGAACGGCACCTCCGTACCTTCAGGCTCTGATCAGTCCCTACACCCAAATGACGTAAATGTAAATGTAAATGAGTTACTGTTATGTGGGAAATATTCACTGTTTACATAAATAATATCAAAAATAATAATAATATGCAATTTAGCAGATGCTTTTAATCTAAATCCATTTATAGTCATGAATGCATACGTTTAATGTACATGTGGTCCCCTGGAATCAAACCCACTATCCTGCCGTTGCATGCACCATGCTCTGCCAACTGAGCTGCAGAGGACCAACAGTGTGATATCCATCACGCTTGTCTGACCAGGAACCCATTAAAGGTAGTGAGGTTCACAGAGTCCCGTGTTAGCCATTAGGTGTATGAAGACCTGATCCCCAGGACCAGCTGTAGAGTTCACTGCATTAGCCCCCGTTGTCAGCTCCATCACTGCTAGACTGATGGTCAGAGGAACTGGCCATGCCCTCTCCATAGTAGAAGAAACTGAAGTAGTAGACCCCTCCAATCGGGGTGTGTGGTAGCTTAGTGGTTAAGAGCGTTGTGCCAGTAACCGAAAGGTTGCTGGTTCTAATCCCCGAGCCGACTAGGTGAAAAATCTGCCCTTGTGCAAGGCACTTAACCCTAATTGCTCCTGTAAGTCGCTCTGGATAAATAAGAGTGTCTGCTAAATGACTAAAAATGTAAATGTAAAATGCAATAGGGGCAGCAAATACACCTGTACCCAGATTGTAGGCACTGCCGATGTTAGTGATGACTTCTTTGTAAATCCGTGTAGTGGCCTGGTGTTCCATTCCAAACACCACCTGTTTTGTTTTTCCTCAAGTTGGTTCTCACTAACTTTGAGCTGGGTTTCCATGGTTCCCAGTTTCTCCACCGTGGTGCTCAGTTTCTCCTCCATGCCAGATTATTCATCCCTGTTGGCGTTTGTCCTATTTTGTTGCATTACAACCTGTAATTTAAATGTATTTATATTTGGATTTCATGTAATGGACATACACAAAATAGTCCAAATTGGAATTTAAAAAATAACTTGTTTCAAAAAATTCTAAAACATAAATAAGAGAAAAGTGGTGTGTTCATATGGATTCCCCCCCTTCGCTATGAAGCCCCTAAATAAGATCTGGTGCAACCAATTACCTTCAGAAGTCACATAATAAGTTAAATAAAGTCCACCTGTGTGCAATCTAAGTGTCACATGATCTGTCACATGATCTCAGTATATATACACACCTGTTCTGAAAGGCCCCAGAGTCTGCAACACCACTAAGCAAGGGGCACCACCAAGCAAGCGGCACCATGAAGACCAAGGAGCTCTCCAAACAGGTCAGGGAAGTTGTGGAGAAGTACAGATCAGGGTTGGGTTATAAAAAAATATCAGAAACTTTGAACATCCCATGAAGCACCATTAAATCCATTATTAAAAAATGGAAAGAATATGGCACCACAACAAACCTGCCAAGAGAGGGCCGCCCACCAAAACTCACGGACCAGGAAAGGAGGGCATTAATCAGAGAGGCAACAAAGAGACCAAAGATAACCCTGAAGGAGCTGCAAAGCTCCACAATGGAGATTGGAGTGTCTGTCCATAGGACCACTTTATGCCGTACACTCCACAGAGCTGTGCTTTACAGAAGAGTGACCAGAAAAAAGCCATTGCTTTAAGAAAAAAATAAGCAAACACGTTTGGTGTTCGCCAAAAGGCATGTGGGAGACTCCCCAAACATATGGAAGAAGGTACTCTGGTCAGATGAGACAAAAATTGAGCTTTTTGGCCATCAAGGAAAACGCTATGTCAGACACCTCTCATCACCCCGAGAACACCATCCCCACAGTGAAGCATGGTGGTGGCAGCATCATGCTGTGGGGATGTTTTTCATCGGCAGGGACTGGGAAACTGGTCAGAATTGAAGGAATGATGGATGGCGCTAAATATAGGGAAATTCTTGAGGGAAACCTGTTTCAGTCTTCCAGAGATTTGAGACTGGGACGAAGGTTCACCTTCCAGCAGGACAATGACCCTAAGTATACTGCTAAAGCAACACTTGAGTGGTTTAAAGGGAAACATTTAATGTTTACATATATTGCACTACTCATCTCATATGTATATACTGCATTCTATTCTATAATATTCTACTGTATTTTAGTCCATGCTGCTCTGTCATTGCTTGTCCATATATGTATATTTTCATAAATTGGGCGGCAGGTAGCTTAGTGGTTAAGAGCGTTGTGCCAGTAACCGAAAGGTCGCTGGTTCTAATCCCCGAGCCGACTAGGTGAAAAATCTGTTGATGTGCCCTTGAGCAAGGCACTTAACCCTAATTGCTCCTGTAAGTCGCTCTGGATAAGAGCGTCTGCTAAATGACTCAAATGTAAAATAAATTCCATTCCTTACTAGTTTTGTGTGTATTAGGTACAGTGGGGAAAAAATGTATTTAGTCAGCCACCAATTGTTGAAACAAAATGTTAGATAACAAAGTATTGAGAAACTTTTGTTATTGACCAAATACTTATTTTCCACCATAATTTGCAAATAAATTCATTAAAAATCCTACAATGTGATTTTCTGGATTTTTTCTCTCTCAATTTGTCTGTCATAGTTGACGTGTACCTATGATGAAAATTACAGGCCTCTCTCATCTTTTTAAGTGGGAGAACTTGCACAATTGGTGGCTGACTAAATACTTTTTTCCCCCACTGTACTTTTACCTCCCTGTTTCTTCATCTCACTGTTAGTGACTTTCACTGTGGCCGTATTAACCACACGCACGGCTGCAAAGCCTGCACTATTTCATCCCGATGAAAATGTTGGTCCATTACCACCGCAATAGGTTTCAAACCTGCCATCAACGCAGACGTACACGTTCTATCGATGTACTCACGTACCCAGTCTCACGTTCTATCGATGTACTCACGTACCCAGTCTCACGTTCTATCGATGTACTCACGTACCCAGTCTCACGTTCTATCGATTGTACTCACGTACCCAGTCTCACGTTCTATCGATGTACTCACGTACCCAGTCTCACGTTCTATCGATGTACTCACGTACCCAGTCTAACGTTCTATGGATGTACTCACGTACCCAGTCTTGTCATGCTGAGTACATCTATGTGCGGCAGGTAGCTTTAGTGGTTAAGAGCGTTGTGCCAGTAACCGAAAGGTCGCTGGTTCTAATCCCCGAGCCGACTAGGTGAAAAATCTGTCAATGTGCCCTTGAGCAAGGCACTTAACCCTAATTGCTCCTGTAAGTCGCTCTGGATAAGAGCGTCTGCTAAATGACCAATTATTATCTACTAATTTTGGTTTTTATTGGTTTTGCTTTTCTGTTGATAGAACGCTGACATCAAAATGCTGGTGTATTGAGAATTTGGATTTTTCTTTTATGTCATTGTGCCAACTCACAATAGCATCTCTCAATTCTTTATTAGATTGCAATTTTCCGTCAGCAAGGAAGTGCTGACCAATCTTATCCAGTTTGCTACATTTTTCCCATATTTGAGCCGAATGGGTAGAATGCTTGTGCGTCTCTTTCAGCGCCTCTATGGCTTTATTAAACTGTTCTTCCTCTAGCCTTTACATGGAGAATCGGGGTCGCCGTTCGCCATTTCAATAATTATTATTCCGACGCCTCTCCCGACGGTGTCCAGAGTGTTTACATTTCCTCACCCCACGGCTCCTAATATACGCCTATTTTTTTTACACAAAATGTAGCCAGTTATACCCACTTCCCGGAGAGTAGTTACGGTATAGGTACCTAATAATTTGGTCACAAGACCTGATACCTTGTATTGAACACAATACTGAAGCATCTGACAATTTACTACTGTAGAATACAGGAGACCTGATGTCTTATACCAGCGTCACGCTTCAAATATCACTGTTGTTGACAACACACATAACCAAAATTATTCACAGTTGTCTTCCTATTTCCACATAATCTGTCACGGTTCCAACCTCTCTTCTTATTGCTACATTTACATTTTAGTCATTTAGCAGACGCTCTTATCCAGAGCGACTTACAGTTAGTGCATACAGTATTTTTTTATACCCCCCGTGGGAATCGAACCCACAACCCTGGCGTTGCAAACGCCATGCTCTACATCCCCGCCGGCTATTCCCTCCCCTACCCTGGGCCAATTGTGCGCCGCCCCATGGGTCTCCCAGTCGCGGCCGGCTACGACAGAGCCTGGATTCGAATCAGGATCTCTAGTGGCACAGCTAGCACTGCAATGCAGTGCCTTAAACCACTGTACCACTGCTAATACACACAAATCAGGTTCAAACTATTTATTTTTTGCCTTTTTTAACCATGAATGAGGCTCCTCCTCCATGAATGAGGCTCCTCCTTCAGAACGTATAGGCAACCTTTACTTCTTAACCTAACCTCCATTGACCCCACCATATACATTCCTCATACATGTAATCATTAACTTCTAGTATAGCAAGTATTTCAAGCTAGAATCCAACAAAGATAACATTAAGGTTAGGACAAGTTATGATTCGATGCGGAAGCTTTTTGAAAATAAGCAGATTAATGGGACCAGCGCTGTCGCTGACGCTAACTAGCAGCTCTGTTGCTAACTACCAGCGCTGACGCTAACTAGCAGCTCTGTTGCTAACTACCAGCGCTGACGCTAACTAGCAGCTCTGTTGCTAACTACCAGCGCTGACGCTAACTAGCAGCTATGTTGCTAACTACCAGCGCTGATGCTAACTAGCAGCTCTGTTGCTAACTACCAGCGCTGACGCTAACTAGCATAGCTGTCCCATTGTTGCAAATAGTTCTGGGATATTAGAATCCTCTTGTCCTAACCTTTGTCATCTTCAACCTTTGCTCCTATGACCGTCACAGCCCTGATTCATACAGCATTATGACCGTCACAGCCCCGACTCATACAGCATTATGACCGTCACAGCCCCGACTCATACAGCATTATGACCGTCACAGCCCTGATTCATACAGCATTATGACCGTCTCAGCCCCGACTCATACAGCATTATGACCGTCACAGCCCCGACTCATACAGCATTATGACCGTCACAGCCCTGACTCATACAGCATTATGACCGTCACAGCCCTGACTCATACAGCATTATGACCGTCACAGCCCTGACTCATACAGCATTATGACCGTCACAGCCCTGACTCATACAGCATTATGACCGTCACAGCCCCGACTCATACAGCATTATGACCGTCACAGCCCCGTCTCATACAGCATTATGACCGTCACAGCCCTGACTCATACAGCATTATGACCGTCACAGCTCTGACTCATACAGCATTATGACCGTCACAGCACTAACTCATACAGCATTATGACCGTCACAGCCCCGACTCATACAGCATTATGACCGTCACAGCACTAACTCATACAGCATTATGACCGTCACAGCCCCGACTCATACAGCATTATGACCGTCACAGCCCCGTCTCATACAGCATTATGACCGTCACAGCCCTGACTCATACAGCATTATGACCGTCACAGCTCTGACTCATACAGCATTATGACCGTCACAGCCCCGACTCATACAGCATTATGACCGTCTCAGCCCCGACTCATACAGCATTATGACCGTCACAGCACTAACTCATACAGCATTATGACCGTCACAGCCCCGACTCATACAGCATTATGACCGTCACAGCACTAACTCATACAGCATTATGACCGTCACAGCCCCGACTCATACAGCATGGACATTGTGAGCAGGGGTGAAAGTACGGTCTGGTACGGCTTCCCGGCAAAATAAATAGCTGTACCGGTAAAATATTAGTTCCCTTTAATCCCCCAGGACTGCTGCGCAGAATAAATATCAGCCCGGGCAGAGAAGCACGAGATTGAACTTCACTCAACTTTCCAGAGTTTTCCCCCTTAGTTAACACTTTCAACGTTTCCCTTTACTGAGGGAATTGTGATCGAATCAACGCAATACTAGCCACTTTCAATGCAACATAATGAAACAAAACCTGCAATTCGCTCAGAGCCTACATCTTTCTGAGGGAACATTGCCTATCAAGATATTTAAAACAAAGATGCCAACCTGACCTCTCTACCACATATATAGGCTACATTACATTTAGCAGACGCTCTTATCCAGAGCAACTTACAGTTAGTGCATACATTTTTTAAATACTGGAATCGAACCCACATTGCAAACGCCATGCTCTACCAACTGAGCTACATCCCTGCCGGCCATTCCCTCCCCTACCCTGGACCAATTGTGCGCCGCCCCATGGGTCTCCTGGTCGCGGCCGGCTACGACAGAGCCTGGATTCGAACCAGGATCTCTAGTGGCACAGCTAGCACTGCGATGCAGCGCCTTAGACCACTGCGCCACTCGGGAGAACATAGTACATTCACATTCCTGCTCCAACTTCCCCTTATGTCCTCTCCAGGGAGTGTTTCGGGAAGAAGTTGGATGTATTGCGTCAGCTGTCAGAGTCCAGTGGAGACAAGGTTCCTCTGTCTGACCTGTTGGTGTCGCTGTTCTACTCTCCTATACAACACATCCACGAGTACAGCAGGCTGCTTCTCAAGCTGGCCACCTGTTTCGATGTGGTACGTACGTTCCGTTTAGCCATATTTCTAACAGGTTCCAAACTCTTTGTTTGAATGTTGAGTCACTGTATCTTCTCATCTATTTCGCTTCACTTCTCTTTTCTTCTCAATCAATCAATCAATCAATCAATCAATCACATTTAAAGCCTTTCTCCTGGTAATCTCAGAGTACAGTGGAATACCAGAGGCTGCAGGAGGGCTACTCCAGGTATGAGGCACTATCTTTCAGCCTGAGGAGGAAGAGGAAGGAGTCAGAGACAACTAACCAGTTCTGGAAGACATATTCTGGGAAAACTACTGTGAGTAAGAGTGGTCCAGTCACAGATATTACAGAACCAGAGACATTCTGGTGTGGGTCCATTAACTGTCAATACATATTGAGCCATCTCCAGTACCGTAATGGAAGAGCACTAGTTATCCTGTCTATAGATGTCACTGGTTATCCTGTCTATAGATCTCACTGGTAATCCTTTCTATACATCTCACTGGTTATCCTGTCTATAGATCTCACTGGTTATCCTGTCTATAGATCTCACTGGTTATCCTGTCTATAGATCTCACTGGTAATCCTTTCTATACATCTCACTGGTTATCCTGTCTATAGATCTCACTGGTAATCCTGTCTATAGATCTCACTGGTAATCCTGTCTATAGATCTCACTGGTTATCCTGTCTATAGATCTCACTGGTTATCCTGTCTATAGATCTCACTGGTTATCCTGTCTATAGATCTCACTGGTTATCCTGTCTATAGATCTCACTGGTTATCCTGTCTATAGATCTCACTGGTTATCCTGTCTATAGATCTCACTGGTAATCCTTTCTATACATCTCACTGGTTATTCTGTCTATAGATCTCACTGGTTATCCTGTCTATAGATCTCACTGGTTATCCTGTCTATAGATCTCACTGGTTATCCTGTCTATATATCTCACTGGTTATCCTGTCTATAGATCTCACTGGTTATCCTGTCTATAGATCTCACTGGTTATCCTGTCTATAGATCTCACTGGTTATCCTGTCTATAGATCTCACTGGTTATCCTGTCTATAGATCTCACTGGTTATCCTGTCTATAGATCTCACTGGTTATCCTGTCTATAGATCTCACTGGTTATCCTGTCTATAGATCTCACTGGTTATCCTTTCTATAGATCTCACTGGTTATCCTGTCTATAGATCTCACTGGTTATCCTTTCTATAGATCTCACTGGTTATCCTGTCTATAGATGTAATGCTTCTTACTGTTAGCCTGGTCTCAGATCAGATTGTCCTTCAGAAGCCCCAGGCTGCTATATATTCTACTACTAGGACGGTCACCACTAGAGGAGAGAATAAGGTACTCTGTTCTCTGTTCTCTGCTCTCTGCTCCCAGGATGTCCTTCAGACGCCCCAGCGCAGGCTGGTGTATGAAAGCAGCGACAAGAGCCTGACCCTCCAGAACGCTGGGAGGTTCTCTGTTAACCGGTTCATCCTGTTCAACGACGCTCTGATTCATGCACAGGTAAGAGTCTATGGGAACCAAAATCTCTAAACAGTAGTCAACATCATCAACATCATTTAGGCTAAACCGGAAAGACCTGAGTAGCATTTATCTCAACTCTGAATCGGGCCTTTAAGGCCTTAGCAGACTGTACGTCGGATTCAGTCTTTTCACGATTATCACGTCACGCTGTGCGATGTAACCAAATTAAAATGTTGATATCAACCTGGCCAGATTGTACGATTGGCTTGGCTTGTATTTGATCTGCGCGTGTGACAGCACCAGCACCAACACCAGCACCAGCACCAGCACCAACACCAACACCAGCACCAACACCAGCACCAGCACCAGCACCAACACCAACACCAGCACCAACACCAGCACCAACACCAGCACCAGCACCAACACCAGCACCAACACCAACACCAACACCAGTACCAGCACCAACACCAGCACCAACACCAGCACCAGCACCAACACCAGCACCAACACGAGCACCAGCACCAACACCAACACCAGCACCAACACCAGCACCAACACCAGCACCAACACCAACACCAACACCAACACCAGCACCAGCACCAACACCAGCACCAACACCAACACCAACACCAACACCAGCACCAGCACCAGCACCAGCAACGCAAGCCTCTCTCTTATTGAAACCAGTAGGCCTCCTGTAGCTCAGTTGGTAGAGCAAAATATTTGTCACACCTGCCATACCCATCAAGCCTCAGAGCTTCTCAGCAGACTGGTTGTCTGAGTTAGAGAGAGAATTCACACACACACACACACACACACACACACACACACAGACACACACACACACACACACACACACACAGACACACACACAGACACACACACAGACACACACACACACACACACAGACACACACACGCATGCCACGCACACACGCACACACAGACACACCACAGACACACACACACACACACACACTCACGCACACGCAGACACACACACACACACACACACACACACACACACGCACACACACACGCCAGACACACACACGCAGACACACACACACCACCAGACACACACACACACGCAGACACACACACACACAGACACACACACACACACGCACACACACAGACACACACACACGCACGCACGCACACGCACGCATGCACACGCACGCACGCACGCACACGCACGCACGCACACGCACACGCATGCACACGCACGCACGCACACGCACGCACGCACACGCACGCACGCACGCACACGCGCACCCCTCTGTCCCCTGTAGCTCAGTTGGTAGAGCGTGGCGCTTGCAACGCCAGGGTTGTGGGTTCGATTCCCACGGGGGGGCCAGTATGAAAACTGTATGCACTCACTAACTGTAAGTCGTTCTGGATAAGAGCGTCTGCTAAATGACTAAAATGTAAAATGTAAATGCAGGAGTGAAATGTGTTTGGAAAAACAGAAATTATGCATCTTTGAAATAGTTTTCACATAGAAACTTTATATGTCCGAACTCAGAATCAAAAGGCTTCCCATGATTGCTATGTTAGAACGTTTATTTTGATTGGAGATTTTGTGCATTTATCAAAGTCCCATCAGGTAGCATGATTTCAGATGTCACGTAATCAAGATTATAAAGGTAATCGTTATTTTTGCAAAGCATGTAAACGTTTAAATCCAACTATTATATTAATCTAACTATTAACAATAATCGGATTATTGTGTGCATATTCAGGGTTCATATTGGTCGGTCACCAGGATCGGCTCATAATACCAGCCACACTACACGACAAAGGCAAAAACATTCTGACACTGCCAGAACTTTGTTGGAGCCTAAGACTGCACGAAGTGGTACTTAATCAGCAGACATAGACCCTGTCGCACTGAACGGGGAAATATTGATTGGGACGGTAAAATCATGGCATAAAACGGCTAAAATCGTACAGTCTGCAGAGGCCTTTACTAAACAGCTATTGGAACCACAGTGAAAGAGTGGGTAAGGGACTATTGAAACCAATGAAAGAGTTGGTAAGGGACTATTGAAACCAATGAAAGAGTTGGTAAGGGACTATTGAAACCAATGAAAGAGTTGGTAAGGGACTATTGAAACCAATGAAAGAGTTGGTAAGGGACTATTGAAACCAATGAAAGAGTTGGTAAGGGACTATTGAAACCAATGAAAGGGTTGGTAAGGGCCTATTGAAACCAATGAAAGAGTTAGTAAGGGCCTATTGAAACCAATGAAAGAGTTGGTAAGGGCCTATTGAAACCAATGAAAGAGTTGGTAAGGGACTATTGAAACCAATGAAAGAGTTGGTAAGGGAACTATTGAAACCAATGAAAGAGTTGGTAAGGGACTATTGAAAGCAATGAAAGAGTTGGTAAGGGCCTATTGAAACCAATGAAAGAGTTGGTAAGGGCCTATTGAAACCAATGAAAGAGTTGGTAAGGGACTATTGAAACCAATGAAAGAGTTGGTAAGAGACTATTGAAACCAATGAAAGAGTTGGTAAGGGCCTATTGAAACCAATGAAAGAGTTGGTAAGGGACTATTGAAACCAATGAAAGAGTTGGTAAGGGACTATTGAAACCAATGAAAGAGTTGGTAAGGGCCTATTGAAACCAATGAAAGAGTTGGTAAGGGCCTATTGAAACCAATTAAAGAGTTGGTAAGGGACTATTGAAACCAATGAAATAGTTGGTAAGAGACTATTGAAACCAATGAAAGAGTTGGTAAGGGACTATTGAAACCAATGAAAGAGTTGGTAAGAGACTATTGAAAGCAATGAAAGAGTTGGTAAGGGCCTATTGAAACCAATGAAAGAGTTGGTAAGGGCCTATTGAAACCAATGAAAGAGTGGGTAAGGGCCTATTGAAACCAATGAAAGAGTTGGTAAGGGCCTATTGAAACCAATGAAAGAGTGGGTAAGGGACTATTGAAACCAATGAAAGAGTTGGTAAGGGACTATTGAAACCAATGAAAGAGTTGGTAAGGGACTATTGAAAGCAATGAAAGAGTTGGTAAGGGCCTATTGAAACCAATGAAAGAGTTGGTAAGAGACTATTGAAACCAATGAAAGAGTTGGTAAGGGCCTATTGAAACCAATGAAAGAGTTAGTAAGGGACTATTGAAACCAATGAAAGAGTTGGTAAGGGACTATTGAAAGCAATGAAAGAGTTGGTAAGGGCCACTTCTATAATGTTGATGTTATGTGTCTTTATTCTGTCGTGGTACCACCCCCTCTAACAGCTTTGTAAGTAAACGATGTCTGCTGTTGTCTTGGGATAGAACCTGTCCTTCCCTTCTCTGCTGCTGTATCTCCTGGGTTCTTATGGCTCGGCTTTAGAAAGCTTGAACTGAGACTCCCAGGCCAAGTGCTGCCCTTGGCTGCCTGTATGTCTGTTCTGGGTGTGGGGGTGATAGTGGAACAATGTCCTGGGTTAGGAGCTTTCACTTCACTACCTGTTGCACCAGCTCAGGCTTTGTCCTCCTGTTGTATTTACACAGCACAAGGCCTTATCAGCAGTGACTCACAGTGCAAGTTTGACCTGGCTCTAACCTGGCTGTAACACTGCATCACTGTCCTTTGAAAAGGTCCTTTTCAATGAACACTGGTGTCCTTCATGCTGGTTTATTGTGTTGGCAGTAGGTGACTTCCTCTGTTGGAGCTGTGGTGACTGCTATAGGCTGTGGTGACTGCTATAGGTTACTGCTCTCTCTGTTGGAGCTGTGGTGACTGCTATATACTGCTCTCTCTGTTGGAGCTGTGGTGACTGCTAATAGGCTGTGGTGACTGCTATGCTGCTGCCCTGTTGGCGCTGTGGTGACTGCTATAGGCTGTGGTGACTGCTATAGGTTACTGCTCTCTCTGTTGGAGCTGTGGTGACTGCTATAGGCTGTGGTGACTGCTATAGGTTACTGCTCTCTCTGTTGGCGCTGTGGTGACTGCTATAGGCTGTGGTGACTGCTATATACTGCTCTCTCTGTTGGAGCTGTGGTGACTGGTATATACTGCTCTCTCTGTTGGAGCTGTGGTGACTGCTATAGGCTGTGGTGACTGCTATAGGTTACTGCTCTCTCTGTTGGAGCTGTGGTGACTGCTATAGGCTGTGGTGACTGCTATAGGTTACTGCTCTCTCTGTTGGAGCTGTGGTGACTGCTATAGGCTGTGGTGACTGCTATAGGCTGTGGTGACTGCTATAGGTTACTGCCCTCTCTGTTGGAGCTGTGGTGACTGCTATAGGCTGTGGTGACTGCTATAGGTTACTGCTCTCCTCTGTTGGAGCTGTGGTGACTGCTATAGGCTGTGGTGACTGCTTAGGCTACTGCTCTCTCTGTTGGCGCTGGTGTGCTATAGGCTGTGGTGACTGCTATAGGTTACTGCTCTCTCTGTTGGAGCTGTGGTGACTGCTATAGGCTGCTGCTCTCTCTGTTGGAGCTGTGGTGACTGCTATAGGCTGTGGTGACTGCTATAGGTTACTGCTCTCTCTGTTGGAGCTGTGGTGACTGCTATAGGCTGTGGTGACTGCTATAGGCTACTGCTCTCTCTGTTGGCGCTGTGGTGACTGCTATAGGCTATGGTGACTGCTATAGGTTACTGCTCTCTCTGTTGGCGCTGTGGTGACTGCTATAGGCTGTGGTGACTGCTATAGGTTACTGCTCTCTCTGTTGGCGCTGTGGTGACTGCTATAGGCTGTGGTGACTGCTATAGGCTACTGCTCTCTCTGTTGGAGCTGTGGTGACTGCTATAGGCTGTGGTGACTGCTATAGGTTACTGCTCTCTCTGTTGGAGCTGTGGTGACTGCTATAGGTTACTGCTCTCTCTGTTGGAGCTGTGGTGACTGCTATAGGCTGTGGTGACTGCTATAGGCTACTGCTCTCTCTGTTGGAGCTGTGGTGACTGCTATAGGCTGTGGTGACTGCTATAGGCTACTGCTCTCTCTGTTGGAGCTGTGGTGACTGCTTATATACTGCTCTCTCTGTTGGAGCTGTGGTGACTGCTTATATACTGCTCTCTCTGTTGGAGCTGTGGTGACTGCTATAGGCTGTGGTGACTGCTATAGGCTACTGCTCTCTCTGTTGGAGCTGTGGTGACTGCTATAGGCTACTGCTCTCTCTGTTGGAGCTGTGGTGACTGCTATAGGTTACTGCTCTCTCTGTTGGAGCTGTGGTGACTGCTATAGGCTGTGGTGACTGCTATAGGCTACTGCTCTCTCTGTTGGAGCTGTGGTGACTGCTATAGGCTGTGGTGACTGCTATAGGTTACTGCTCTCTCTGTTGGCGCTGTGGTGACTGCTATAGGCTGTGGTGACTGCTATAGGCTGTGGTGACTGATATAGGCTGCTGCTCTCTCTGTTTCTGTGGTGGTGGTTTTTCATTTTCTCTCATTTCACTTCTTGTCACTAGAGTTCCTTCTCCTCTTTGTCTCATGATCACTACATCCTCGTAAGGTCTAGACAGTAGCCACACACACACACACACCAACACACACACACATCAACACACACACACACACACCAACACACACACACATCAACACACACACACACACCAACACACACACACATCAACACACACACACACACCAACACACACACACATCAACACACACACACGGCTTCTGCAGAAGGGGAAGAGACTCATCCAGAAAGCTATTGATTCAGCATATACTGAAAAATGACTCTACGTGTACTGTAACACAAACAGAAGAAATACAGAAATTACACAATCCAAATCACAATATAAAGAATGACATTTCTTTTAAAGTTGCGTAACGTGGTTAAAAACTATATCTATAATCACTGAGTGGACAAATCATTAGGTACACCTGCTCTTTCCATGACAGAGACTGACCAGGTGAATCCAGGTGAAAGCTGTGATCCCTTATTGATGTCACCTGTTAAATTCATTTCAAATCAGTGTAGATGAAGGGGAGGAGACAGGTTAAAGGAGGATTTTTAAGCCTTGAGACAATTGAGACATGGATTGTGTATGTGTGTCATTCAGAGGGTGAATGGGCAAGACAAAAGATTGAAGTGCCTTTGAACGGGGTATGGTCGTAGGTGCCAGGCGCACCGGTTTGTGTCAAGAACTGCAACGCTGTTGGGTTTTTCACGCTCAACATTTTCCCGTGTGTATCAAGAATGGTCCACCACCCAAAGGACATCCAGCCAACTTGACACAACTGTGGGAAGCATTGGAGTCAACATGGGCCAGCATCCCTGTGGAATACTTTCAACACCTTGTAGAGTCCATGCCCTGACGAATTGAGGCTGTTCTGAGGGCGAAAGGGGGGAGGGGTGCAACTCAATATTAGGAAGGTGTTCCTAATGTTTTGTACACTCAGTGTAGTTTTGTGTTACCAGACATCACAGGCGTCGAGGCAAGTTATACTGTAACACAAGGAATTCTGTTTGATTGAAACAAGTGCCCCAGCCTTAAACAAACATAGAAATGCACTGCACTGTCACTGCATTGTGACTGCACTGTGACTGCACTGTGACTGCATTGTGACTGCACTGTGACTGCATTGTGACTGCACTGTGACTGCACTGTGACTGCATTGTGACTGCACTGTGACTGCACTGTGACTGCACTGTGACTGCATTGTGACTGCACTGTGACTGCACTGTGACTGCACTGTGACTGCACTGTGACTGCACTGTGACTGCACTGCGATTGCACTGTGACTGCACTGTGACTGCACTGTGACTGCACTGTGACTGCACTGTGACTGCATTGTGACTGCACTGTGACTGCACTGTGACTGCACTGTGACTGCACTGTGACTGCACTGTGACTGCACTGTGACTGCACTGACATCACTGTTCTGTCTCCCTTCAGTTCTCATCTCACCATGTCTACCCTCTGGCCACTCTCTGGGTGGAGCCCGTCACGGACATCACTGCCAGCAGCAACCAGTGAGTTTAGTCTACCTGCTATCCTTCTGTCAACCAATAACTAACTAGCCTCGACTCCTGCTGTTCTAGCAAAGGAGAATAAGGTGTTGAGGTCTGGTAACACCATTTAATGTTGTTGTCATTCTTCTGCCCCCAAGGTATGGAATTAAGGTGACAACTCCAGAGGAGAGCTTCACTCTGCTGGCCTCCTCCCCTCAGGAAAAGGTACGTCTTCTCAGTCCAGTGTCTGGGTATCTACACCTCATTAATCCCGACTCTGCTAGCCTCTAAGGTTGATGTGTTCTGGCACTGTGTCCTCCCTCTGTCCCTCCAGGCGAAGTGGCTGAGGGCTATTAACCAGGCCGTGGAGGTGGTGTTGACCGGAGAGGGGAGCGGTGCTGGGGTCCCTGCTGTCTCTCGTACCGCCTCCTACGTCTTCTGTAAAGACCTCCGTCTGAAGGACGCCTCCTACTCAGGCCGCTGGCTGTCTGGCAAGCCCCACGGCAAGTGAGTCTGGGGGGGAGGGGAAGGTTTTACAGAAAACCCTGTGTGATCAGGGCAACTGGAGAAGACCTCTAAGACTAATCATTTGTATTAGCTCGATTATTTACACTTTCTAGTAGGCATACATCCTTAACATACACGTCTGCATTATTGTACAAAAAGGCCAAAGTAATGTGTTGACAGATTTGTCTCCTTCCTTTCGAACAGAGGGACCATGAAATGGCCAGATGGCAGAACGTTCACAGGGACATTTAAACAAGGACTGGAGGACGGGTCAGTGTTAGCCTGGTTAATGCAGAGTTCAGAGTTCAGACTGGTTTAACCAGGCGGTGTGGGAGGCATGGTGAACATCCAGATGGTCCTGTTCTTCTGTTGTAACCGGTGTGTTGTCTCTTGTGTCTGTAGCTACGGAGACTGTAAAATGCCAAACAAGCTCCTCGACAAGAGTGATCGTTACCAGGGCCACTGGAGAGATGGGAAGATGCATGGCTTTGGGACGTACAAGTGAGTTACTGTGTCCACCTGTATATGCCACAGGGCTGGGGTCAAACTTGTAGAATTGCTAATTTAGCAACGTCGCCTGGGGCCTGTTCAGGAGACTAACTTAAGAAGTATTGTTGTCACGATACGAACATTTTACTACCGATACGTTACCAGGCCAAGTATCACGACACCGAGTAGTATCGCGATACCACGGGTGAAAAACATGAGAGGGGCTTAGCATCCTCCTGTTAGCCCCGTCCCCCCTGTTAGCGCCGTCCCCCCATACGCTTGGTCCCATTCTAGAAACGTTATGTGCAAGGGCTACGTAAAAACCTGTCACTGATATTCACACTTCTACTCAATACAACACATATTGAATTAACTTCACACTGTTCACTGATATTCACACTTCTACTCAATACAACACATATTGAATTAACTTCACACTGTTCACTGATATTCACACTTCTACTCAGTACAAACACATATTGAATTAACTTCACACTGTTCACTGATATTCACACTTCTACTCAATACAACACATATTGAATTAACTTCACACTGTTCACTGATATTCACACTTCTACTCAGTACAACACATATTGAATTAATTTCACACTGTTCACTGATATTCACACTTCTACTCAGTACAACACATATTGAATTAACTTCACACTGTTCACTGATATTCACAGTTCTACTCAATACAACACATATTGAATTAACTTCACACTGTTCACTGATATTCACACTTCTACTCAGTACAACACATATTGAATTAACTTCACACGGTTCACTGATATTCACACTTCTACTCAGTACAACACATATTGAATTAACTTCACACTGTTCACTGATATTCACACTTCTACTCAGTACAACACATATTGAATTAACTTCACACTGTTCACTGATATTCACACTTCTACTCAGTACAACACATATTGAATTAACTTCACACTGTTCACTGATATTCACACTTCTACTCAGTACAACACATATTGAATTAACTTCACACTGTTCACTGATATTCACACTTCTACTCAATACAACACATATTGAATTAACTTCACACTGTTCACTGTATAATATAATACTGCATAGAATGGCTGATTTGCTCATATTCACAAAGGCATACCTGTGATTTGGCTGGAGGAATTGGAGGAAGGAATATACATGCATAATGATCTGCATGTCATTGTGTCAGTCAGGGGAAAACACTGGATAATGATCTGCATGTCATTGTGTCAGTCAGGGGAAAACACTGCATAATTTATTTTTAATTTTTTATGTAACCTTTATTTATACAAGTTTTTCTCATTGAGATCAAATCTCTTTTTCCAAGAGAGACCTGGTCCAACAGCAGCAGGGGTCCAACAACTTACATACACTAACACAACATTAAACACAACTATAGACACACATACAGTACAGAAATTACATATTACGTAAAGAAACACGAATGTCATAACCAATGATCTGAAAACACTGCATAATGATCTGCATGAAACCTTTACTCTTCAGTTAAAACACACATGATCTCCCTCCCTCTCTCTCTCATACATACACACACACACACACACAACACACACACACACACATACACACACACACACACACACACAGAAATCTCCTTTCCTCTCTCTCTCATAAACACACCCTCCCTCCCTCATAAACACACACACATACACAGAAATCTCCCTCCCTCTCTCTCTCATATACACACACATCCTCCCTCCCTCTCTCTCATAAACACACACACACGCAAATCTCCCTCCCTCCCTCTCTCTCTCTCTCATAAACACACACACATCTCCCTCCCTCCCTCCCTCCCTCCCTCCCTCCCTTCCTCACACACTCTGTATCCTTTTCTCTCTCCAATAAACACATGCACACCAACTGTTAAAACGTTAGGCACCAAACAGAATTTAAGGAGCTCCAGAAAGAGGTAGATGTTTGATCCGGTTTAGTCTTCCATTAGGTCTGTATGAATCCTACCTCTGAAGCACATCTCATGAGTAGCAGACCCTGTTCATTTCTTCCTGGGCCAATCAGATGAGCCTCAACCTACTGTCAGGTTAGCAGGTTGTTAGCTAGCTAGGTAACATGACTGAACAACGTGTGTTATCAAACCAATAATTAGCGATCCAGGATTAGTTTAAAACGGCCCGCGACATGGTTTGTGAAATTATATCAAATGTGCGCGAAATCGTACAGGAAGATAAAAGGCTCCAGAATTATGAGTCATAATTCTTTGAACCTGTTTGAGCTCGAGAGAAGCCATTTTCTTTGCTGTGAAGCTGTAAACATGGCTGTAAACATGGCTGTCAACATGGCTGTAAACATGGCTGTAAACATGGCTGTCAACATGGCTGTAAACATGGCTGTCAACATGGCTGTAAACATGGCTGTAAACATGGCTGTAAACATGGCTGTCAACATGGCTGTAAACATGGCTGTCAACATGGCTGTAAACATGGCTGTCAACATGGCTGTAAACATGGCTGTCAACATGGCTGTAAACATGGCTGTCAACATGGCTGTAAACATGGCTGTAAACATGGCTGTCAACATGGCTGTAAACATGGCTGTCAACATGGCTGTAAACATGGCTGTAAACATGGCTGTCAACATGGCTGTCAACATGGCTGTCAACATGGCTGTAAACATGGCTGTCAACATGGCTGTAAACATGGCTGTAAACATGGCTGTAAACATGGCTGTCAACATGGCTGTAAACATGGCTGTCAACATGGCTGTAAACATGGCTGTCAACATGGCTGTAAACATGGCTGTCAACATGGCTGTCAACATGGCTGTCAACATGGCTGTTTCCCTCTCTGGCACTGCTGCATGACAGCGAACTTACCATGGTAACGGTATACTGTGGAACACTAATATGAAGGGGAGGTGCTATCGGAACTTGTCCAATAAGACATTTTTGTTTTCTGTTTTAAAATGTTTTGCTACATTGTACCCTGCTGTAGGCTCAGGTTTGTTAACCATTCTCTCCAGGTATATTACAGGTGTATGGTTGTAGTTCTCTCCAGGTATGCTACAGGTGTATGACTGTAGTTCTCTCCAGGTATTTTACAGGTGTATGACTGTAGTTCTCTCCAGGTATGCTACAGGTCAGGTGTATGACTGTAGTTTTCTCCAGGTATTTTACAGGTGTATGGTTGTAGTTCTCTCCAGGTATATTACAGGTGTATGGTTGTAGTTCTCTCCAGGTATATTACAGGTGTATGATTGTAGTTCTCTCCAGGTATATTACAGGTGTATGGTTGTAGTTTTCTCCAGGTATTTTACAGGTGTATGATTGTAGTTCTCTCCAGGTATATTACAGGTGTATGGTTGTAGTTCTCTCCAGGTATTTTACAGGTGTATGGTTGTAGTTCTCTCCAGGTATATTACAGGTGTATGATTGTAGTTTTCTCCAGGTATTTTACAGGTGTATGATTGTAGTTCTCTCCAGGTATATTACAGGTGTATGGTTGTAGTTCTCTCCAGGTATATTACAGGTGTATGGTTGTAGTTCTCTCCAGGTATATTACAGGTGTATGGTTGTAGTTCTCTCCAGGTATTTTACAGGTGTATGGTTGTAGTTCTCTCCAGGTATGTTACAGGTGTATGGTTGTAGTTCTCTCCAGGTATTTTACAGGTGTATGATTGTAGTTCTCTCCAGGTATATTACAGGTGTATGGTTGTAGTTCTCTCCAGGTATATTACAGGTGTATGGTTGTAGTTCTCTCCAGGTATATTACAGGTGTATGGTTGTAGTTCTCTCCAGGTATTTTACAGGTGTATGGTTGTAGTTCTCTCCAGGTATGTTACAGGTGTATGGTTGTAGTTCTCTCCAGGTATATTACAGGTGTATGATTGTAGTTCTCTCCAGGTATGTTACAGGTGTATGACTGTAGTTTTCTCCAGGTATGCTACAGGTATATGACTGTAGTTTTCTCCAGGTATGCTACAGGTCAGGTGTATGAGGGATCCTTCCATGATAACATCCGTCAGGGCCATGGGATGCTGAGCTCTGGGAAGCTGATTGGCTCTTCCTCCAGTGTGTTCGTTGGCCAATGGCTTCAGGACAAGAAGATGGGATATGGAGTCTTTGATGACATCACTAGGTATAGTACAGCACTTGATTGACTTGATTTGTCATCATCAGTTGATACAAACTTCCAGCTGTGGTTGCTTAGCCTGGTCTCAGATCTATTTGTGCTGTCTTGCCTAGAGTCGGGCATGACGATGACCAAGACAGCACAGATCTGGGACCAGGCTAGAGGTTGCTGCAATCTGTAGTCAGTGTGTGTCCAGGTCTGTGTTTACCCGTCTCTGCTCAGTTTTCAAGGAAATGAGAAACCTGCACACCGCTCTTACTTGTATGACTTATTTTATTAAAGCTTACGTATCGGCCTCTTGGCCTTCGCTTTCTGCTCAGTTTTGAAAGATAGTGCCGAGCTAAAGGTTGGTTGCTGCTCTGCTTTGCTCCGTTGTACCCGTCTGTTGTCTTGTTTCAGAGGGCACAAGTACATGGGCCTATGGGTAGATGACCAGCGCCAGGGCAATGGAGTGGTAGTCACTCAGTTTGGTCTCTACTACGAAGGGGCCTTCAGCAACAACAAGATGATGGTGAGTCCCACACAGTCTCGCTCTCAGTGTTCAATGATGCTATTAGCCTGATGAATGCAATCTCAATCTTGGTCTAAATCTTTTATTTTATTTTTTATACACAGTACCAGTCAAAAGTTTGGACACACCTACTCATTCAAGGGTTTTTCTTTGTTTTTTAAAACTATTTTCTACATTGTAGAATAATAGTGAAGACATCAAAATGATGAAATAACACATATGGAATCATGTAGTAACCAAAAAAGTGTTAAACAAATCAAAATATATTTGAGATTTGAGATTATTCGAAGTAGCCACCCTTTGCCTTGATGACAGCTTTGCACACTCTTGGCATTCTCTCAACCAGCTTCACCTGGAATGCTTTTCCAACAGTCCTTGAAGGAGTTCCCACATATGCTGAGCACTTGTTGGCTGTGTTTCCTTCACTCTGCGGTCCGACTCATCCCAAACCATCTCAATTTGGTTGAGGTCGGGATTATGAAGGCCAGGTCATCTGATGCAGCACTCCATGACTCTCCTTCTTGGTAAAATAGCTCTTACACAGCCTGGAGGTGTGCAGGGTCATTGTCCTGTTGAAAAACAAATTATAGTCCCACTAAGCACAAACAAGATGGGATGGCGTATCGCTGCAGAATGCTGTGGTAGCCATGCTGGTTAAGTGTGCCTTGAATTCTAAATAAATCACAGATAGTGTCACCAGCAAAGCACACACACTCCATCACACCTCCTCCTCCATGCTTCACGGTGGGAACCATACATGCGGAGATCATTCGTTCACCTACTCTGCGTCTCACAAAGACATGGCGGTTGTAACCAAAAGTCTCAAATTTGGACTCATCAGACCAAAGGACAGATTTCCACCGGTCTAATGTCCATTGCTCGTGTTTCTTGGCCCAAGCAAGTCTCTTCTTATTATTGGTGTCCTTTAGTAGTGGTTTCTTTGCAGCAATTCGACCATGAAGGCCTGATTCACGCAGTCTCCTCTGAACAGTTGATGTTGAGATGTGTCTGTTACTTGAACTCTGTGAAGCATTTATTTGGGCTGCAATCTGAGGTGCAGTTAACTCTAATGAACTTATCCTTTGCAGCAGAGGTAACTCTGGGTCTTCCATTCCTGTGGCGGTCCTCATGAGAGCCAGTTTCATCATAGCGCTTGATGGTTTTTGCGACTGCACTTGAAAAAACTTTCAAAGTTCTTGACATTTTCTGTATTGACTTACCTTGATGTCTTAAAGTAATGATGGACTGTCATTTCTCTTTGCTTATTTGAGCTGTTCTTGCCATAATATGGACTTGGTCTTTTACCAAATAGGGCTATCTTCTGTATACCACCCCTACCTTGTCACAACACAACTGATTGGCTCAAACGCATTAAGAAGGTTTAGAAATTCCACAAATTCACTTTTAAGAAGGCACACCTGTTAATTGAAATGCATTCCAGGTAACTACCTCATGAAGCTGGTTGAGAGAATGCCAAGAGTGTGCAAAGCTGTCATCAAGGCAAAGGGTGGCTATTTGACGAATCTCAAATATAAAATATATTTTGATTTGTTTAACACTTTTTTGGTTACTACATGATTCCATATGTGTTATTTCATAGTTTTGATGTCTTCACTATTATTCTACAATGTAGAAAATAGTAAAAATATAGAAAAACCCTTGAATGAGTAGGTGTTGTAAAACTTTTGACCGGTAGTGTATGTATTCTATAAGTCAACAGAAGATAAATTGGCAGCAGGCCACCTGAAGTTGTTTACACATTATGGTGAACAGGATCCAGAAACTGGCAGTGAACACACCCCTGGTAAACACAGCTCAACTCACAAACATGACACACCAAGGGGACAATAAATGAATCTGACATCTCAACATGAGGGACAGAGAGGTTGTTTTGGGAACTTGATCACATGTAGCTCATTGGCTGTAGTATTGAATAAATATTACTGAACACAAATATAAAAGGCAATGTGCAACAATTTCTAAGATTTTACTGAATTACAGTACAGGCAATCCGTCAACTGAAATAAATTAATTAGGCTCTAGTCTATGGATTTCACATGATAGGGCAGGGGTGCAGCCATGGGTGGGCCTGGGAGGGCATAGGCCCACTCACCTGGCAGCCAGGCCCACCCACTGGGGAGCCAGACCCAGCCAATCAGAATGATTCTTTCCCCACAAAAGTGGTTTATTGCAGAGCCTAACCCCCCCCCCCCCCCCCCCCATGTAATGATCATGCTGTTTAATCAGCTTCTTCATTTGCCACACCTGTCAGGTGGATGGATTATCTTGGCAAAGGAGAAATGCTCACTAACAGGGTTGCAAACAAATTTCTTCACAAAATGTGCGTATGGAAAACGTCTGGGATTTTTTATTTCAGCTCATGAAACATGGGACCAACACTTTACATGTTGCGTTTATATATTTGTTCAGTGTAGTTAGGTAATACTTTACATTACAGTGGCGGAGGGTTAGGGTTAGGCAGTACACTGAAGCCTAATCAGCACTGCATACCAATCCAGCATCCTGGCATCGACTAGGCGGTCGCCTAATGCACTGCATACCAATCCAGCATCCTGGCATCGACTAGGCGGTCGCCTAATGCACTGCATGCCAATCCAGCATCCTGGCATCGACTAGGCGGTCGCCTAATGCACTGCATGCCAATCCAGCATCCTGGCATCGACTAGGCGGTCGCCTAATGCACTGCATGCCAATCCAGCATCCTGGCATCGACTAGGCGGTCGCCTAATGCACTGCATGCCAATCCAGCATCCTGGCATCGACTAGGCGGTCGCCTAATGCACTGCATGCCAATCCAGCATCCTGGCATCGACTAGGCGGTCGCCTAATGCACTGCATGCCAATCCAGCATCCTGGCATCGACTAGGCGGTCGCCTAATGCACTGCATGCCAATCCAGCATCCTGGCATCGACTAGGCGGTCGCCTAATGCACTGCATGCCAATCCAGCATCCTGGTATCGACTAGGCGGTCGCCTAATGCACTGCATACCAATCCAGCATCCTGGCATCGACTAGGCGGTCGTCTAATGCACTGCATACCAATCCAGCATCCTGGCATTGACTAGGCGGTCGCCTAATGCACTGCATACCAATCCAGCATCCTGGCATCGGTTGTTTTGGCAAACCTTTGACTGGTAGTGTATATATATTTTTTAGGGGTTAGATCAGCTTTAATATTGCAGAAAGATTGTGGCTTCTATCAATGTACAGTTGAAGTCGGAAGTTTACATAGGTTGGATTCATTAAAACTTGTTTTTCAACCACTCCACAAATTTCTTGTTAACAAACTATAGTTTTGGCAAGTCGGTTAGGACATCTACTTTGTGCATGACACAAGTCATTTTTCCAACAATTGTTTACAGACAGATTATTTCACTTATAATTCACTGTATCACAATTCCAGTGGGTCAGAAGTTTACATACATTAAGTTGACTGTGCCTTTAAACAGCTTGGAAAATTCCAGAAAATGATATCATGGCTTTAGAAGCCTGCTAATTGACATCATTTGAGTCAATTGGAGGTGTACCTGTGGATGTATTTCAAGGCCTACCTTCAAACTCAGTGCCTCTTTGCTTGACATCATGGGAAAATCAAAAGAAATCAGCCAAGACCTCAGAAAACAAATTGTAGACCTCCACAAGTCTGGTTCATCCTTGGGAGCAATTTCCAAATGCCAAACAATGTACAAACAATAGTACGCAAGTATAAACACCATGGGACCACGCAACCGTCTTACCGCTCAGGAAGGAGACGCATTCTGTCTCCTAGAGATGAACATACCTTGGTGCGAAAAGTGCAAATCAATCCCAGAACAACAGCAAAGGACATTGTGAAGATGCTGGAGGAAACAGGTACAAAAGTATCTATATCCACAGTAAAACAAGTCCTATATTGACATAACCTGAAATGCCGCTCAGCAAGGAAGAAGCAACTGCTCTGAAACCGCCATAAAAAAGCCAGACTACGTTTTTCAACTGCACATGGGGACAAAGATCGTACTTTTTGGAGAAATGTCCTCTGGTCTGATGAAACAAAAATAGAACTGTTTGGCCATAATGACCATCGTTATGTTTGGAGGAAAAAGGGGGATGCTTGCAAGCTTCCCACAATAAGTTGGGTGAATATTGGCCCTTTCCTCCTGACAGAGCTGGTGTAACTGAGTCAGGTTTGTAGGCCTCCTTGCTCGCACACACTTTTTCAGTTCTGCCCACAACTTTTCTATAGGATTGAGGTCAGGGCTTTGTGATGGCCACTCCAATACCTTGACTTTGTTGTCCTTAAGCCATTTTGCCACAACTTTGGAAGTATGCTTGGGGTCATTGTCAATTTGGAAGACCCATCTGCGACCAAGCTTTAACTTCCTGACTGATATTTTGAGATGTTGCTTCAATATATCCACATCATTTTCCTTCCTCATGATGCCATCCAGTCCCTCCTGCAGCAAAGCACCCCACAGCATGATGCTTCCACCCCCGTGCTTTACGGTTGGGATGGTGTTCTTCAGCTTGCAAGCACCCCTCTTTTTCCTCCAAACATAACGATGGTCATTATGGCGAAACAGTTCTATTTTTGTTTCATCAGACCAGAGGACATTTCTCCAAAAAGTACGATCTTTGTCTTTGTTCTTGAAGCACCTCCCAAAAGTTTGATTGTTGATGGGCACTTCTTACGCACCATACGGTCAAGCTGCTTGACCGTATGGTGCCACTCCATTATAGACAGAATACCAGCTGACTGCTTCTTCCCTAAATAGTTATTGCATAGTTTGGAGCTGTGCTTTGGGTCATTGTCCTGTTGTAGGAGGACATTGGCTCCAATCAAGCGCCGTCCACAGGGTATGGCATGGCGTTGTAAAAATGGAGTGATAGCCTTCCTTCTTCAAGATCCCCTTTACCCTGTACAAATCTCCCACTTTACCACCACCAAAGCACTCCCATACCATCACATTGCCTCCACCATGCTTTACAGATGGCATCAAGCAATCCTCCAACATCTTTTCTTTTGGTCTGCGTCTCACAAATGTTCTTCTTTGTGATCCGAACACCTCAAACTTTGATTCGTCTGACCATAACACTTTTTTCCAATCTTCTTCTGTCCAGTGTCTGTGTTCTTTTGCCCATCTTAATCTTTTCTTTTTATTGGCCAGTCTGAGATATGGCTTTTTCTTTGCAACTCTGCCTAGAAGGTCAGCATCCCGGAGTCGCCTCTTCACTGTTGACGTTGAGACTGGTGTTTTGCGGGTACTATTTAATGAAGCTGCCAGTTGAGGACCTGTGAGGCGTCTGTTTCTCAAACTAGACACTCTAATGTATTTGTCCTCTTGCTCAGTTGTGCACCGGGGCCTCCCACTCCTCTTTCTATTCTGGTTAGAGCCAGTTTGCACTGTTCTGTGAAGGGAGTAATACACAGCGTTGTACGAGATCTTCAGTTTCTTGGCAATTTCTCGCATGGAATAGCTTCATTTCTCAGAACAAGAATAGACTGATGAGTTTCAGAAGAAAGTTATTTGTTTCTGGCCAGTTTGATCCTGTAATCGAACCCACAATTGCTGATGCTCCAGATCCTCAACTAGTCTCAAGAAGGCCAGTTGTATTGCTTCTTTAATCAGTACAACAGTTTCAGCTGTGCTAACATAATTTCAAAAGGGTTTTCTAATGATCAATTAGTCTTTTAAAATGATAAACTTGGATTAGCAAACACAACGTGCCATTGGAACACAGGACTGATGGTTGCTGATAATGGGCCTCTGTACGCCTATGTAGATATTCCATTAAAAAATCAGCCGTTTCCATCTACAATGGCCATTTACAACATTAACAATGTCTACACTGCATTTCAGATCAATTTGATATTATTTTAATGGGCAAAACAATTGCTTTTCTTTTGAAAACAAGCCAATATCAAAGTGACCCCAAACTTTTGAATGGTAGTGTACATTTTACGGACACAGTATATTTTACATTAGTTATCTTTTGTTTTGTTTTTAATCCCAACCTTCAGCTACACTCAACCCTTTCCCATCTCACTTGGTCTCAATCTTGAATTTAATATTTTCTCCGTCTCATTCTCTGTCAGGGCACTGGTCTGCTGGTGTCTGATGATGACACGGCCTTTAAGGGAGAGTTCTCAGACGACTGGACCCCTAATGGCAAGGTAAGGTATAGATAGAGATGGATGGATGAAGAGAGAGGTGAATATATATATCTATGAGGTAAGAGGAATGAACTTAAAAGCCTTCACAAGATATCAAGCCTTAACGAAAACCGACAGTGACGTGTTGTGTATGAAATACATCTCACTCTTAATACACATAAACACCGTTGTCTTACGTCAGATAGCGCAACATTGTCCGGACTGAATGGTTCTCATGGCAACGTAATCTCACGTGGACAGATCTACGTTAACATGACCGGTACCGTGGAATGAGATGCGTGGGCTAACCCATGACCGGTACCGTGGAATGAGATGCGTGGGCTAACCATGACCGGTACCGTGGAATGAGATGCGTGGGCTAACCATGACCGGTACCGTGGAATGAGATGCGTGGGCTAACCATGACCGGTACCGTGGAATGAGATGCGTGGGCTAACCATGACCGGTACCGTGGAATGAGATGCGTGGGCTAACCATGACCGGTACCGTGGAATGAGATGCGTGGGCTAACCATGACCGGTACCGTGGAATGAGATGCGTGGGCTAACCATGACCGGTACCGTGGAATGAGATGCGTGGGCTAACCAGCAGCAGTAGTTCTAGTGTTTGGGTTTATCCGTCACTGGTTATTTGGAAAAATTAAGATTTTCGTAGGTGTTAACATGTTTCGAATTTCGGAAGGGGAGGGGGACATTCGGCCCGTTAACTTGCAAAGAGAGAGGGTGGACTCCTCATTCTGGTTCCGCTGTAACATTTCTTAATCTCTTTACATGGACCCAAAACATATTTGAGCAGCTGACCAATTACGTGAGACTTTAGTCGTTGGAATGACGCCCTCTTATCAGAAGATAATGCATGAACACTCATCTTGTGTTGCACTCTCTCCCAGGGTACCCTGTCGATGTCCAATGGAGACTTCATAGAGGGTCTGTTTAGTGGAGAGTGGACCTCAGGGTTGAAGATCACGGGAACCTACATTAAGCCTAATCTCTATGAACCTGACAAGAAGGAATCAACCTGGGTGCTGTAAGGATCTTATTCTTTATACAGTAGAAATCTAATATAATTTGATGTGAAGTGTCAGCTTTCATCTCTCCCAGCGTGTGTCTCTCTGCCGGTCTGTGTTTCCCTACACTGAGGCTGTCTGTGTTTCCCTACACTGAGGCTGTCTGTGTTTCCCTACACTGAGGCTGTCTGTGTTTCCCTACAGTGAGGCTGTCTGTGTTTCCCTACACTGAGGCTGTCTGTGTTTCCCTACACTGAGGCTGTCTGTGTTTCCCTACACTGAGGCTGTCTGTGTTTCCCTACACTGAGGCTGTCTGTGTTTCCCTACACTGAGGCTGTCTGTGTTTCCCTACAGTGAGGCTGTCTGTGTTTCCCTACACTGAGGCTGTCTGTGTTTCCCTACACTGAGGCTGTCTGTGTTTCCCTACAGTGAGGCTGTCTGTGTTTCCCTACACTGAGGCTGTCTGTGTTTCCCTACAGTGAGGCTGTCTGTGTTTCCCTACACTGAGGCTGTCTGTGTTTCCCTACACTGAGGCTGTCTGTGTTTCCCTACACTGAGGCTGTCTGTGTTTCCCTACACTGAGGCTGTCTGTGTTTCCCTACACTGAGGCTGTCTGTGTTTCCCTACAGTGAGGCTGTCTGTGTTTCCCTACAGTGAGGCTGTCTGTGTTTCCCTACACTGAGGCTGTCTGTGTTTCCCTACAGTGAGGCTGTCTGTGTTTCCCTACACTGAGGCTGTCTGTGTTTCCCTACACTGAGGCTGTCTGTGTTTCCCTACAGTGAGGTGGGCCATCTAGCCGTACCACCAGAACAGAAGTGGAGGGCAGTGTTCTCCGAGTGTTGGAGCAGGCTGGGCTGTGAGGCCCCGGGACGGCCTGAGGAGAGCAGGAGGGCCTGGGAACATATCGCTGTTACACTCACCACAGGACGCAGAGACAGGTACAAACACACACCTGGAGTCTAGGGATGTGACATATTGACAATTTTGCTTAGAGTTTGAATTGCAATTGTTTATATACTGAACAAAAATGTAAACGCAACATACAACAATTGAAAATATTTTACTGAGTTACAGTTCATGTAAGGAAATCAGTCAATTGAAATAAATTCAATCTATGGATTGAGGCCCACCCACTTGGAAGCCACGCCCAGCCAATCAGAATTAGTTTTTCCCCACAAAAGGGCTTTATTACAGACAGAAATACTCCTCAGTTTCATCAGCTGTCCGGGTGGCTGGTCTCAAACGATCCCGCAGGTGAAGAAGCCGGATGTGGAGGTCCTGGGCTGGCGTGGTTACACGTGGTCTGCAGTTGTGAGGCCGGTTGGACGTACTGCCAAATGTTCTAAAACGACATTGGTAGAGAAATGAACATTACATTCTCTGGCAACAGCTCTGGTGGACATTCCTGCAGTCGGTATGCCAATTGCACGCTCCCTCAAACCTTGAGACATCTGTGGCCTTGTGTTGTGTGACGGACTTTACATGTTGCGTTTTATATTTGTGTTGTAAGGTCTTGTAAGGTCTGTGGGCATCCTAAAGCAAAACAACGGACATGTACGTGAGAGTCTCACCTTTCCACAAAGGGGTCATGTTAGTGTGTAGCCCAAACTGTTCGGTCGCTACAGACAGAAGTTGGCAGATCGGCGGTACCGACTTCAGACCAGTCCCAAGACGCTTGTGGGGGTCGGAGAGCAAAACGGAGAACAGCTTCGTGAGAGTCTCTTCTTTCCATAGAGGGGTCCTGATAGTTTGTAGGCTACAGGCGATTTTATGAGAAGACCGATTTTCGGGACGTCTCATGGTCTGACAAACACTGCTCTAGCGCTGTCACCTTTCACCACAGATGCAGAAGTGCGACATCGGCGGATGAGGTGGATTGAGACGCAGCCCATGCAAAAAGACACACACGTTAACACACACCTGGACACACATGTTAACACACACCTGGACACACACCTTGACACACACCTGGACACACACCTTGACACACACCTGGACACACATCTTGACACAAACCTGGACACACACCTTGACACACACCTAGATACACACACGTTAACACACACCTGGACAAACACCTGGACACACACCTTAACACACACCTCCTGAGGCCACATTTATTGTACCTGGGGATTTTAACAAAGCAAAATTGAGGAAAACGCTACCGAAGTTCTATCAACACATTGACTGTAGTACTCGCGGAGGTAAACCACACGACCAATGCTTCTCCCCCTTTCGAAATGCCTACAAGACCCTCCCCCGTCCTCCCTTCGGCAAATCAGATCACGACTCCATTTTGCTCCTCCCTTCCTATAGGCAGAAACTCAAACAGGAAGTACCGGTGTTATGGTCTATTCAACACTGGTCTGACCAATCGGAATCCATGCTTCAAGATTGTTTTGATCACGCAGACTGGGATATGTTCCTGGTTGCCTCTGAGAATAACATTGACGTATACACGGACACGGTTACTGAGTTCATCAGGAAGTGTATAGGGGATGTTGTTCCCACTGTGACTATTAAAACCTACCCACACCAGAAACCGTGGATGGATGGCAGAATTCTCGCAAAACTGAAAGCACAAACCACCGCATTTAACCATGGCAAGGTGACTGGGAATATGGTGGAATACAAACAGTGTAGTTATTCCCTCCGTAAGGCAATCAAACCGGCAAAACGTCAGTACAGAGACAAGGTGGACTCGCAATTCAACGGCTCAGACACGAGACGTATGTGGCAGGGTCTACAGACAATCACAGATTACAAAAGGAAAACCAGCCAGGTCGCGGACACCGACGTCTTGCTCCCGGACAAGCTTCTTTGCCCGCTTTGAGGATAACACAGAGCCAACGACGCGGCCTGCTCCCAAGGACTGTGGGCTCTTGTTCTCCGTGGCCGACGTGAGTAAGACGTTTAAGAGTGTTAACCCCTGCAAGACTGCCAGCCCAGACGGCATCCCTAGCCGCGTCCTCAGAGCATGCGCAGACCAGCTGGCTGGAGTGTTTACGGACATATTCAATCTCCCATATCCCAATCTGTTGTCCCCATTTGCTTCAAGATGGCCACCATTGTTACTGTACCCAAGAAAGCTAAGGTAACTGAACTAAATGACTATCGCCCCGTAGCACTCACTTCTGTCATCATGAAGTGCTTTGAGAGGCTAGTTAAGGATCATATCACTTCTACCTTACCTGACACCCTAGACCCATTTCAATTTGCTTACCGCCCCAACAGATCCATAGATGATGCAATTGCCATCACACTGCACACTGCCCTATCCCATCTGGACAAGAGGAATACCTACGTAAGAATGCTGTTCATTGACTATAGCTCAGCATTCAACATCATAGTACCCTCCAAGATCATCATTAAGCTCAGGGCCCTGGGTCTGAACCCCGCCCTGTGCAACTGGGTCCTGGACTTCCTGACGGGCCGCCCCCAGGTGGTGAAGGTAGGAAACAACATCTCCACTATGCTGATCCTCAACACTGGGGCCCCACAAGGGTGCGTGCTCAGCCCCCTCCTGTACTCCCTGTTCACCCATGACTGGGTGGCCAAGCACGCCTCCAACTCAATCATCAAGATTGCAGACGACACAATAGTAGTAGGCCTGATTACCAACAATGATGAGACAGCCTACAGGGAGGAGGTGAGGTCCCTGGCGGAGTGGTGCCAGGAAAATAACCTCTCACTCAACATCAACAAAACAAAGGAGATTATCGTGGACTTCAGGAAACAGCAGAGGGAGCACGTCCCTATCCACATCGACGGAACTGCAGTGGAGAAGGTGGAAAGCTTCAAGTTCCTCGGCGTACACATCACCAGGACACCTACAGCACCCGATGTCACAGGAAGGCCAAAAAGATCATCAAGGACAACAACCACCCAAGCCACGGCCTATTCACCCCACTATCATCCAGAAGGCGAGGTCAGTACAGGTGCATCAAAGCTGGGACAGAGAGACTGAAAAACTGCTTCTATCTCAAGGCCATCAGACTGTTAAATAACCATCACTAGCCGGCTACCACCCGGTTACTCAACCCTGCACCTTAGAGGCTGCTGCCCCATATACATAGACATGGAATAACTGGTCAATTTAATAATGGAACACTAGTCACTTTAATAATGTTTACATACTGCTTTACTCATCTCATATGTATATACTGTATTCTACTGTATTCTAGTCAATACCACTCTGACATTGCTCGTCCTAATATTTATATTTCTTAATTCCATTATTTTACTTTTAGATGTGTGTATTGTTGTGAATTGTGAGATACTACTGCACTGTTGGAGCTAGCAACACAAGCATTTCGCTACACCCGCAATAACATCTGCTAAATATGTGTATGTGACCAATACAATGTGATGTGATTTGATTTGATAACACACACACCTGGACACAGACCTGGACGCACACTCATGGTGCGTGGTTTCTATAGTGATGGATGCATATTGTCTGTCTCCAGTCCAGAGCTGCTGAGCCGGTCTCAGAGTAGAGTCCTGGAGAAGCTGGAGGTGATTCCACAACACACAGGTCCAGTTACTGCTGCGAGGTATGACGTCATCCGACGATACCTCACCAAGGTGAATAACACACTGTACTGTACTGTAGGGCCACAGCTGTCGAGGGCAGCAGACTGATATGGTCACCAGCTTTATGGCCGGTGTACCTAATTGTGTTTCGACATGACATGCTAACAGATTGTGACCATTGGTGTGTAGGACTGTGGGCTTAATAATAATAATAATATTCCACTTAGCAGACGCTTTTATCCAAAGCGACTTACAGTCATGCATGCATAATTTTTTTTTTGTGTGTATGGGTGGTCCCGGGGATCGAACCCACTACCTTGGCGTTACAAGCGCCGTGCTCTACCAGCTTGCTAGATGATTCTTCTTCTTCCTCTCTTCTCCATCATCATCATCATCCTCCCTGTCCTTCTCCAGGCCTGTGAGACCCCCCTCCACCCTCTGGGATGGTTACTGGAGACCCTGGTGACGGTGTACAGGATGACCTATATAGGGGTAGGGTCTAACAGAAGGTTGCTACAACAGGCTGTGGAAGAGATCAAGTCCTACCTCAGACGCATCTTCCAGCTGGTCAGGTAGGCGCACTAGAGGTTGTATCACTGTCTAAACTGATGCCCCCAGTATAGAGATAGATTAAGATAGGCTCCACATGCATCACACAGTACAGTACCGGGGGGAAGCAACATTGTCACTATGAGGATTTTCACTCTACCGAACCAAACCAAGCCGAACCAAACCAAGCTGTACTGAGCTGGCCCGGTTGGTTACTCATCCACCATAGCACCAATACCGTGCTGGAAAAAGGACAATGTGAAATAGAAAATATTTCCGAGGCAGGCGCAGTTTTGTTTGGGCCGGTGCGGGAGAAAGAGGAATATCTGTATACACTGTTGTCTAAGGACAGCACCTGAGTGACATGCTCTCACCTCACCCTCTGTGGGTTATACAGGCTTCTGTTCCCTGACCTCCCTGATGAGGGGGTTGTGATCCACACTGACCCCAAAGGATCCTCAGAGACAAACCAGCAAGGGTGAGTCTACACTGTCTACGGCGCCCTCTACAGATCCAGTCATGGTACTGCATTCCAATAGGATAGATGTTACATTACATTATATAGAGCATGGCTTCGTTAGTGTTTACTGTCACACACACACACACACGCACACACACACACACACACACACACACACACACACACAGACGCACACGCACACACACACACACACACACACAGACGCACACGCACGCACACACACGCACACACAGACACACACACACACACACACACACACACACACACACACACACACACACACACACACACACACAGACACACACACAGACACACACACAGACACACACACACACGCACACACAGACGCACACGCACGCACGCACACGCACACACACACACACACACACACACACACACACACACACACACACACACACACACACACACACACACACAGCTGAATAATATTTTTGGACCAGCAAAGATCCAACAAACAACATTTTTGGCATGACTACCTAGAAAAGGGTGTCTGTCTTGGTCAGATCAGTCATTCAGTCAGCTTCCTGTATTCAGACTTCTTCGTTCTGTAATTAATATCATATGATTAGTCTTCTTCCTCTTTGTGTGTATCCCTCCCTGCCCTACCTTTCCACCCTCTGTGTGTGTGTGTGTGTGCGTGTGTTTGTGTGTGTGTGTGTACGCACGTTTGTGTGTGTTTGTGTTTGTGTGTGTGTGCGTATGTGTTTGTGTGTGTGTGCGTGTGTTTGTGTGTGCGTGTGTTTGTGTGTGTGTGTGCGTGTGTGCGTGTGTGCGTGTGTGTGTGTGTACGCACGTTTGTGTGTGTTTGTGTGTGTTTGTGTACGCGCGTTTGTGTGTGTGTGTGCGTGTGTTTGTGTGTGTGTACGCGCGTGTGCGTGTGTTTGTGCGTGTGTGTGTGTGTGCGTGCGTGTGTTTGTGTGTGCGTGTGTGTGTGCGTGTGTGTGTGTGCGCGTGTTTGTGTGTGTGTGTGTGTGTGTGTGTGTGTGTGCGTGCGTGTCGCTCCCTACCTCTCCTCTATGGTAGCTGGTTGGTGAGTAGCTCCACTCTGCTGCTGCCCGTCCTGCTGCCGCGGCTGTACCCTCCTCTGTTCACCCTGTATGCCCTGGACAAGGAGAGAGAGGAGGAGGTGTACTGGGACTGTGTCCTGAGGCTCAACAAACAGGCTGACCTGGGCCTGCTGGCCTTCCTGGGGGTCCAACAGTAAGTTATGGCTAAATACTGAGGCACAAGCACCCTCAAATACACACGTGCACACTAGGCGTATATACCATATACCGGGGTATTTGGAAATAGCTTACGGGATGTTTTTTTTCAATACCGTTGAAACTATTTGTTTTTAAGTTTTTTCAATGAATTTGAATATTTGTAGCTACTTTTTAAGTTAATACCTCCAGTCAACTTGTGCAATCCGTTAGGAGATGAAGCAGATCGCGTTCTTCATTTCACCTGTCACATAATTTCACATTATGAAGTTTACCGTAGTTCCCCAGAACAGTTTACATTTATAGTTCATTCGGAAAGTATTCAGACCCCTTGACTTTTTCCAAATTTTGTTACATTACAGCCTTATTCTAAAATTGATTAAATTGTTATTTTTCCCTCGTCAAGCAAAAACAGGGTTTTAGACATTTTTGCACATTTATTAACAATAAAAAACTGAAATATTACATTTACATAAGTATTCAGACCCTTTACTCAGTACTTTGTTGAAGCACCTTTGGCAGTGATTACAGCCTTGAGTCTTCTTGGGTATGACGCTACAAGCTTGGTACACCTGTATTTGGGGAGTTTCTCCCATTCTTCTCTGCAGATCCTCTCAAGCTCTGTCAGGTTGGATGGGGAGCGTTGCTGCACAGCTATTTTCAGGTCTCTCCAGAGATGTTCAATCGGGTTCAAGTCCTGGCTCTGGCTGGGTCACTCAAGGACATTCAGAGACTTTTCCCGAAGCCACTCCTGCATTGTCTTGGCTGTGTGCTTACGGTCGTTGTCCTGTTGGAAGGTGAACCTTCGCCCCAGTCTGAGCTCCTGAGCGCTCTGGAGCAGGTTTTCATCAAGGATCTCTCTGTACTTTGCTCTGTTCATCTTTCCCTCGATTCTGACTAGTCTCCCAGTCCCTGTGGCTGAAAAACCTCCCCACAGCATAATGCTGCCACCACCATGCTTCACCGTAGGGATGGTGCCAGGTTTCCTCCAGATGTAACGCTTGGCATTCAGGCCAAAGAGTTCAATCTTGGTTTCATCAGACCAGAGAATCTTGTTTCTCATGGTCTGAGAGTCCTTTAGGTGCCTTTTGGCAAACTCCAAGCGGGCTGTCATTGCCTTTTACTGAGGAGTGGCTTCCTTCTGGCCACTCTACCATAAAGGCCTGATTGGTGGAGTGCTGCAGAGATGGTTGTCCTTCTAGAAGTTTCTCCCATCTCCACATAGGAACTCTGGAGCTCTGTCAGAGTGACCATCGGGTTCTTGGTCACCTCTCTGACCAAGGCCCTTCTCCCCCGATTGCTCAGTTTGGCCAGGCGGCCAGCTCTAGGAAGAGTCTTGGTGGTTCCAAACTTCTTCCATTTAAGAATGATGGAGGCCACTGTGTTCTTGGGGACCTTCAATGCCGCAGAAATGTTTTGTTACCCTTTGTGCCTCGACACAATCCTGTCTCGGAGCTCTACGGACAATTCCTTCGACCTCATGGCTTGGTTTTTGCTCTGACATGCACTGTCAACTGTGGGGCCTTATATAGACAGATGTGTGCCTTTCCAAATCATGTCCAATCAATTGAATTTGCCACAGGTGGACTCCAATCAAGTTGTAGAAACATCTCAAGGATGATCAATGGAAACAGGATGCACCTGAGCTCAATTTTGAGTCTCATAGCAAAGGGTCTGAATAGTTATGTAAATAAGGTATTTCTGTTATTTATTTTTAAATTAGCAAAAAAATCTAAAATCCTGTTTTCGCTTTGTCATTATGGGGTATTCTGTGTAGATTGATGGGGATTTTATTTTTATTTAATCCATTTTAGAATAAGGCTGTAACGTAACAAAATATGGAAAAGTAAAGGGTCTGAATACTTTCGGAATATCCAGAGCGACTTACAATTGGTGCATTCATCTTAAGATAGCTAGGTGAGACAGCAACACATCACAATCGTATGAAGAACCTATTTAACTGAACAAAGTATTTATCAGCAAAGTCAGTGCTAGTAAAAAAAAAAAAAAAAAAACTCAATCAAGTGCTGACCGCATTACCTCCCTAGAGAATTATCTTTGGTCACAGCCGTGTATATTCCCCCTCAAGCCACGACGCCTCTCAAGGCTGCATTTATTGTAGCTGGGGACTTTAACCTCTACGGCATCGGTATATGGAACGGTTGAGCTAACGTGCGCGTATGTGATTAGCATGACTGTTGTAAGTAACAGCAACCTTTCAAGGACATAGACATGTCTTATATGGGCAGAAAGCTTACATTCTTGTTAATCTAACTGCACTGTCTAATTTACAGTAGCTATTACAGTAAAATAAAGACCATGCTATTGTTTGAGGAGAGTGCACAACAACACAAAATGTATCACGGCAACTGGCTTGAAACATTCACCTCTGAAGGTAAATAATGTACTTACAGTGGGGGAAAAAAGTATTTAGTCAGCCACCAATTGTGCAAGTTCTCCCACTTAAAATGATGAGAGAGGCCTGTAATTTTCATCATAGGTACACGTCAACTATGACAGACAAAATGAGAAAGACATTTCCAGAAAATCACATTGTAGGATTTTTAATATATATGGCATTTAGCAGACGCTTTTATCCAAAGCGACTTACAGTCATGTGCGCATACATTTTTACGTCCTGGGGATCAAACGCACTACCCTGCTGTTACAAGCGCCATGCTCTACCAATTGAGCTACAGAGGAATGAATTTATTTGAAAATTATGATGGAAAATAAGTATTTGGTCAATAACAAAAGTTTCTCAATACTTTGTTATATACCCTTTGTTGGCAATGACACAGGTCAAACGTTTTCTGTAAGTCTTCACAAGGTTTTCACACACTGTTGCTGGTATTTTGGCCCATTCCTCCATGCAGATCTCCTCTAGAGCAGTGATGTTTTGGGGCTGTCGCTGGGCAACACGGACATTCAACTCCCTCCAAAGATTGTCTATGGGGTTGAGATCTGGAGACTGGCTAGGCCACTCCAGGACCTTGAAATGCTTCTTACGAAGCCACTCCTTCGTTGCCCGGGCGGTGTGTTTGGGATCATTGTCATGCTGAAAGACCCAGCCACGTTTCATCTTCAATGCCCTTGCTGATGGAAGGAGGTTTTCACTCAATCTCACGATACATGGCCCCATTCATTCTTTCCTTTACACGGATCAGTCGTCCTGGTCCCTTTGCAGAAAAACAGCCCCAAAGCATGATGTTTCCACCCCCATGCTTCACAGTAGGTATGGTGTTCTTTGGATGCAACTCAGCATTCTTTGTCCTCCAAACACGACGAGTTTAGTTTTTACCAAAAAGTTATATTTTGGTTTCATCTGACCATATGACATTCTCCCAATCCTCTTCTGGATCATCCAAATGCACTCTAGCAAACTTCAGACCGGCCTGGACATGTACTGGCTTAAGCAGGGGGACACGTCTGGCACTGCAGGATTTGAGTCCCTGGCGGCGTAGTGTGTTACTGATGGTAGGCTTTGTTACTTTGGTCCCAGCTCTCTGCAGGTCATTCACTAGGTCCCCCCGTGTGATGCTCACCGTTCTTGTGATCATTTTGACCCCACGGGGTGAGATCTTGCGTGGAGCCCCAGATCAAGGGAGATTATCAGTGGTCTTGTATGTCTTCCATTTCCTAATAATTGCTCCCACAGTTGATTTCTTCAAACCAAGCTGCTTACCTTTTGCAGATTCGGTCTTCCCAGCCTGGTGCAGGTCTACAATTTTGTTTCGGGTGTGCTTTGACAGCTCTTTGGTCTTGGCCATAGTGGAGTTTGGAGTGTGACTGTTGTGTCTTTTGTGGACAGGTGTCTTTTATACTGATAACAAGTTCAAACAGGTGCCATTAATACAGGTAACGAGTGGAGGACAGAGGAGCCTCTTAAAGAAGAAGTTACAGGTCTGTGAGAGCCAGAAATCTTGCTTGTTTGTAGGTGACCAAATACTTATTTTCCACCATAATTTGCAAATAAATTCATTAATTAATAAATTCCAAAATCCTACAATGTGATTTTCTGGAGAAAAAAAATCTCTATTTGTCTGTCATAGTTGACGTGTACCTATGATGAAAATGTCAGGCCTCTCTCATCTTTTTAAGTGGGAGAACTTGCACAATTGGTGGCTGACTAAATACTTTTTTTCCCCACTGTATAAAATATATTTTGATTTGTTTAACACTTTTTCGGATAATACATGATTCCATATGTGTTATTTCATTGTTTTGATGTCTTCACTATTATTCGACAATGTAGAAAATAGTAAACATTAAGATAAACCCTGGAATGAGTAGGTGTGTCCAAACTTTTGACTGGTACAGTATGTAAGAATGCTGTTCATTGACTATAGCTCAGCATTCAACATCATAGTACCCTCCAAGCTCATCATTAAGCTCGGGGCCCTGGGTGTGAACCCCGCCCTGTCCAACTGGGTCCTGGACTTCCTGACGGGCCGCCCCCAGGTGGTGAAGGTAGACAACAACACCTCCACTACGATGATCCTCAACACTGGGGCCCCACAAGGGTGCGTGCTCAGCCCCCTCCTGTACTCCCTGTTCACCCACGACTGCGTGGCCAAGCACGCCTCCAACTCAATCATCAAGTTTGCAGACGACACAACAGTAGTAGGCCTGATTACCAACAATGACGAGACCGCCTACAGGGAGGAGGTGAGGGCCCTGGCGGAGTGGTGCCGGGAATATAACCTCTCCCTGAATGTCAACAAAACAAAGGAGATGATCGTGGACTTCAGGAGACAGCAGAAGGAGCACGCCCATATCCACATCGATGGGGCCGCAGTGGAGAAGGTGAAAAGCTTCAAGTTCCTCGGCGTACACATCACTAACAATCAGAAATGGTCCACCCACACAGACAGTGTGTTGAAGAAGGCGCAACAGTGCCTCTTCAACCTCAGGAGGCTGAAGAAATTCGGATTGGCCCCTAAGACCCTCAGAAACGTTTACAGATGCACCATTGAGAGCATCCTGTCAGGCTGTATCACCTCCTGGTACGGCAGTTGCACCGCCCGCAACCGCAGGGCTCTCCAGAGGGTGGTGCGTTCTGCCCATCACCGGGGGCACTGAGCAAATTGATCTCAAAATAAATGCATCTACTCAGGACCACAGCTGTAAACACAGTCCAGTTCAAAGTGAACGGCCCATATATGGCAACGGTCCATTTACACATAGGCCTACTGCAGCTCTGATTGGTTATGGGGCACCAGTCTGTGTAGAGTACGTGCTGAGTCCTGCACTATAGTATCCTACTCCGATGCGTTCGGCCTACAACAAAATCTCTTGCATAGTTCGTTTTGTTTCAGTATGTTGCATTGAAAAGTGGCTAGTATTGCGTTGATTCGATCACAATTCCCTCAGTAAAGGGAGACGTTGATAGTGTTAACTAACAGGGAAGATTCTAGGAAGTTGAGTGAAGTTCAATCTCCTGCTTCTCTCACGGGCTGATATTTATTCTGCGCTCTGCAGCGGCAGTCTCGGGCAAGCAGCTTAGAGGTTACATTGTGCCCAGCCCTAACACACACACACACACACACACACACACACGCACACACACACACACACACACACACACACACACACACACACACACACACACACACACACACACACCCTCTTACAGCTGTATCTACTGAGCAGCAGACAGATATTAAACCAACATAGTGTCTTGTTAACTACACCTCTCTGCCCATTTCTCTGTACACTGATCTGTGCAGTAACTGATCCTCTGTACCTCTTTATGGTAAAAACAACCTTCTGTGATTATCTGAACTTTCTGTGATTGGTAATGTCAACCTTCTGTGATTATCTGAACTTTCTGTGATTGGTAATGTCAACCTTCTGTGATTATCTCAACATTCTGTGATTGGTAATGTCAACCTTCTGTGATTATTAATGTCAACCTTCTGTGATTGGTAATGTCAACCTTCTGTGATTATTAATGTCAACCTTCTGTGATTGTCTCTCAGGAAGTTCTGGCCTGTTTCCGTGTCTGTGTTGGGAGAGAAGCAGCAGGTGGGTTCTAGATCTCTACTCTCTCCTTATGTGACAGGTCTCTCCTGCATCTCTCCAGTCTTCTTAACCATCTCTTAGAATCGCTCTTGCATTAAACCCATATGTAACTCTTGCTGTACTTTGTAACCTTTGTCCTCATGCAGTTGAACCTCTTTAGCTCTTCTAGGAAATCTGTGATCCTTGATCCCCCGAGGAAGCTTGATCCCCCAGGGAAGCTTGATCCCCCGGGGAAGCTTGATCCCCCGGGGAAGCTTGATCCCCCGGGGAAGCTTGATACCCCGAGGAAGCTTGATCCCCGGGGAAGCTTGAGCCCCCGGGGAAGCTTGATACCCAGGGGAAGCTTGATAACCGGGGAAAGCTTGATTTACCCCGAAGGAAGCTTGATCCCCCGGGGAAGGAGAGTGATCCCCCGGGGAAGCTTGATACCACAGGGAAGCTTGAGCCCCCGGGGAAGCTGATTGTCATGCAGAATTAATACCAAACAAACCATGTACTGTGTACTACAGGGGATGTGTATGTAGCTCCCGTAGAGTGGCGCAGTGGCTAAGGCTCTGCATCGCAGTGCTAGCTGTGCCCACTAAGAGTCCTGGTTCATTCCAGGCGGCTGTCGTTAGCCGCCGCCGGACCCGGGAAGTGGAGGGAATGGCCGGCAGGGATGTAGCTCAGTTGGTAGAGCATGGCATTTGCAATGGCAGGGTTGTGGGTTTGTTTCCCACGGGGGGCCAGTATAAAAAAGTCGCTCTGGATAAGAGCGTCTGCTAAATGACGTAAATGTTATTGTACCCTATTTTCCCCCAGAGGTTGACCTTTCCCCCTCTTGATATTTCATTTTCCACTTGATAAATGCCTGTTACTCAAACCTCCGATGTATTTCTGCGATTAGGTCCTTCCCAGCACCAAAGATGCTTGCTTTGCTTCTGCAGTGGAGACCTTACAACAGATCAGGTAAGGGACGCTCCAGTGTGATGTATTACAGTTGATCCGGTCATATCCCTTAGGCCAGGACGCTCCAGTGTGATGTATTACAGTTGATCTGGTCATATCCCTTAGGCCAGGACGCTCCAGTGTGATGTATTACAGTTGATCTGGACCCTTATTTCCTTAATAGGGATATATATATATATATATATACTTTCACAATTTTGAAGGCAGATATAGTATTGTATCTTGTATAAGTCTTCTCTGTCTCCTTGTGTGTGTTTGTTTGTTTACCCCTCGCAGCACCACCTTCACCCCGTCAGACAAGCTGCAGGTGATCCAGCGTACCTTTGAGGAGCTGACCCAGGAAGTACATGCCCTGCTAGAGGGGAACTTCCTGTTTTCCATGGACGACCTCTTCCCTCTCTTCCTCTACGTCGTGCTTAGAGCACGGTAAGGTGGCATCACTACTGACGACAGGTGGCATCACTACTGACGACAGGTGGCATCACTACTGACGACAGGTGGCATCACTACTGACGACAGGTGGCATCACTACTGACGACAGGTGGCATCACTACTGACGACAGGTGGCATCACTACTGACGACAGGTGGCATCACTACTGACGACAGGTGGCATCACTACTGACGACAGGTGGCATCACTACTGACGACAGGTGGCATCACTACTGACGACAGGTGGCATCACTACTGACGACAGGTGGCATCACTACTGACGACAGGTGGCATCACTACTGACGACAGGTGGCATCACTACTGACGACAGGTGGCATCACTACTGACGACAGGTGGCATCACTACTGACGACAGGTGGCATCACTACTGACGACAGGTGGCATCACTACTGACGACAGGTGGCATCACTACTGACGACAGGTGGCATCACTACTGACGACAGGTGGCATCACTACTGACGACAGGTGGCATCACTACTGACGACAGGTGGCATCACTACTGACGACAGGTGGCATCACTACTGACGAACAGGTGGCATCACTACTGACGACAGGTGGCATCACTACTGACGACAGGTGGCATCGATACTGACGACAGGTGGCATCACTACTGACGACAGGTGGCATCACTACTGACGACAGGTGGCATCACTACTGACGACAGGTGGCATCACTACTGACGACAGGTGGCATCACTACTGGCGACAGGTGGCATCACTACTGACGACAGGTGGCATCACTACTGACGACAGGTGGCATCACTACTGACGACAGGGTGCAGAGACAAAATTGTTATGTTTTAAAGCTAGTTTCCTGCAATTCTACACATTTCGCCATGGGGCTAGTTGCCATGGGGCTAGTTGCCATGGGGTTAGTTGCCATGGGTTATGTTATGTTCTTATGCTATCTGAGTGACTCAAATATTATAACAAAATCAATTATAACAAACAATACCATGACTGTCTAGTTTTTTATTTTGGTGGTTGTTAGTTCTCAAAGAAAATGTATAGCTCCATTATCTTCTCTACAGACTTTATAGCTGGTTTTAGTGTGTACTTCATTTAAAGATTTTGTGGCGGCCACGATAATGCATATAGGGTAAACACTGACTCTATTCCCTATATAGTGCACTACATTTGACCAGAGCCCAATGGGGGACATTTCCTTTGTCCCTGTTCTAGGATGAGGAATCTGGCTGCTGAGGTGAGTCTTATAGAAGACCTAATGGACCCCTCTCTGCAGAACGGAGAACTGGGACACATGTTCATCACACTCAAGGTAACACTCTGTACTTTTAGACAGCTGAAGCAAGCAAACACATTTTCTTCAAGAACATTTATTTTTCTAGTTTGGGATGTTTTGATTTATTGATTAGCGTTTCTAAATGTGTTATAAGGATCCCATTGATTGATCTATTTTCTTGGCATGTCCTTGTCCAGGCTTGCTGTTTTCAGATCCAGCAGGAGAAGACCACGTAGGGAAGGAAGTGTACTGCCTTCTACAACGGAGGTCGACCGGGGCGGACCCACTTTCCATCCCGTCGACTCCAGATGACCAGATAGTCAGTCTGGCGATTGATCATCCTGGGCTAAAGACATTTACATTTTTTTACTATTATTTATACAGGGAAGTCCCATTTGAGACCGAAGCCCTGCTTCACAAAAAGTAGCAAAACAATACAAAGTACACAATAAGGAATTAGTGAAACAATTTTAACAATCAAAGGCCGGAGCATGAGAAATAAATTAGAAAAATTTATTTAAGAGATGCAGTGAAAAGGGAGTTCTAGACTTCAGGTGCTGCTGCCTCATGACAAAGGGAACTTTCATGCACCCTGACTAGATTTTATCCTGACTAGCTTTTATCCTGACTAGATTTTATCCTGACTAGCTTTTATCCTGACTCGATTTTATCCTGACTAGCTTTTATCCTGACTAGCTTTTATCCTGACTAGATTTTATCCTGACTAGCTTTTATCCTGACTAGCTTTTATCCTGACTAGATTTTATCCTGACTAGCTTTTATCCTGACTAGCTTTTATCCTGACTAGCTTTTATCCTGACTAGATTTTATCCTGATTAGATTTTATCCTGACTAGATTTTATCCTGACTAGCTTTTATCCTGACTAGATTTTATCCTGACTAGCTTTTATCCTGACTCGATTTTATCCTGACTAGCTTTTATCCTGACTAGCTTTTATCCTGACTAGATTTTATCCTGACTAGCTTTTATCCTGACTAGCTTTTATCCTGACTAGATTTTATCCTGACTAGCTTTTATCCTGACTAGCTTTTATCCTGACTAGATTTTATCCTGACTAGATTTTATCCTGACTAGATTTTATCCTGACTAGATTTTATCCTGACTAGCTTTTATCCTGACAAGCTTTTATCCTGACTAGATTTTATCCTGACTAGCTTTTATCCTGACTAGCTTTTATCCTGACTAGATTTTATCCTGACTAGATTTTATCCTGACTAGCTTTTATCCTGACTCAGAAATATCTTCATGGTTCTTGCAACTGACACTATTGGGAAACTCCACATTGAGTTTGAATGTGCAATGATTATGTTAACACTGATAGGATTGTGCCAAATCATTCTAATGAAATGTACAGATTTTAGAAATACATTTTAAAATCATGAAAGACACTGGAACATGTTCATAGAATATTTGGAACAAAATGTATCAGGAGAAAAATATTGAATATATTGAAATATATCAAGTAGTATATATTTTATTGTGATTATATTACAGTCTGTATGGAAGAGGGTGAATGAGTGAGTTGTAACATGTTAGCACTTTGAATAAGGGTCAACTAGGGGGCGCTTATATTTGTCCTGTTTCACTGCATGTACAGTTGGGTAACCTGTACGAGGTGTGAAATGGAAAAGTTTTTTTTGCGTTTCCCACCTCCCCATGAGGCACGCTCGGAGAGGGGTCACGGCCAGGTGTCAGACATTGTTGATGGCGACCCTGGAGCAATGAATTAGTTAAGTGACTTGCTCAAGGGCACATCGGGCAGATTTTTCACCTAGTCGGCTCAGGGATTCAAACCAGCGACCTTTTTGGTTACTGGCCCAATGTTCTTAACCGCTAGCCTGTCTGCTGCCCTTAGTATGGGTACTGTGTTAAATTATCTTCGTAGTTTAGACACTGTAGACTGCCTTAAATCAAGACTGCTATTATTGTTAAACTGAATAATCACAGTCAATAGTTTACCATTATAATATCACTAAGAAGTATGTTTCTCATGATTGATCCCTATTTAGATTTGATTTGTGTAAAAACTATGCAACTAACAAAGACTCTTTGCAATGAGGCACACAGATGTGACACAGTCTGGTTAGTAAAGGCCTGGTTTGACAGTCTGGTTAGGAAGGCCTGGCGTGACAGTCTGGTTAGGAAGGCCTGGCGTGACAGTCTGGTTAGGAAGGCCTGGTTTGACAGTCTGGTTAGTAAAGGCCTGGCATGACAGTCTGGTTAGGAAGGCCTGGTTTGACAGTCTGGTTAGGAAGGCCTGGCGTGACAGTCTGGTTAGGAAGGCCTGGTTTGACAGTCTGGTTAGGAAGGCCTGGCGTGACAGTCTGGTTAGGAAGGCCTGGTTTGACAGTCTGGTTAGGAAGGCCTGGCGTGACAGTCTGGTTAGGAAGGCCTGGTTTGACAGTCTGGTTAGTAAAGGCCTGGCGTGACAGTCTGGTTAGGAAGGCCTGGTTTGACAGTCTGGTTAGGAAGGCCTGGCGTGACAGTCTGGTTAGGAAGGCCTGGTTTGACAGTCTGGTTAGTAAAGGCCTGGTTTGACAGTCTTGTTAGGAAGGCCTGGTGTGACAGTCTGGTTAGGAAGGCCTGGTTTGACAGTCTGGTTAGGAAGGCCTGGCGTGACAGTCTGGTTAGGAAGGCCTGGTTTGGTTTGACAGTCTGGTTAGGAAGGCCTGGCGTGACAGTCTGGTTAGGAAGGCCTGGTTTGACAGTCTGGTTAGGAAGGCCTGGCGTGACAGTCTGGTTAGGAAGGCCTGGTTTGACAGTCTGGTTAGTAAAGGCCTGGCGTGACAGTCTGGTTAGGAAGGCCTGGTTTGACAGTCTGGTTAGGAAGGCCTGGCGTGACAGTCTGGTTAGGAAGGCCTGGTTTGACAGTCTGGTTAGTAAAGGCCTGGTTTGACAGTCTTGTTAGGAAGGCCTGGTGTGACAGTCTGGTTAGGAAGGCCTGGTTTGACAGTCTGGTTAGGAAGGCCTGGCGTGACAGTCTGGTTAGGAAGGCCTGGTTTGACAGTCTGGTTAGGAAGGCCTGGCGTGACAGTCTGGTTAGGAAGGCCTGGTTTGACAGTCTGGTTAGTAAAGGCCTGGCGTGACAGTCTGGTTAGGAAGGCCTGGTGTGACAGTCTGGTTAGTAAAGGCCTGGTTTGACAGTCTGGTTAGGAAGGCCTGGCGTGACAGTCTGGTTAGGAAGGCCTGGTTTGACAGTCTTGTTAGGAAGGCCTGGCGTGACAGTCTGGTTAGGAAGGCCTGGCGTGACAGTCTGGTTAGGAAGGCCTGGCGTAACAGTCTGGTTAGGAAGGCCTGGTGTGACAGTCTGGTTAGGAAGTTCTGGTTTGACAGTCTGGTTAGGAAGGCCTGGCGTGACAGTCTGGTTAGGAAGGCCTGGTTTGACAGTCTGGTTAGGAATGCCTGGCGTGACAGTCTGGTTAGGAAGGCCTGGTTTGACAGTCTGGTTAGTAAAGGCCTGGCGTGACAGTCTGGTTAGGAAGGCCTGGTTTGACAGTCTGGTTAGTAAAGGCCTGGTTTGACAGTCTGGTTAGGAAGGCCTGGCGTGACAGTCTGGTTAGGAAGGCCTGGTTTGACAGTCTGGTTAGTAAAGGCCTGGTTTGACAGTCTGGTTAGGAAGGCCTGGCGTGACAGTCTGGTTAGGAAGGCCTGGTTTGACAGTCTGGTTAGTAAAGGCCTGGTTTGACAGTCTGGTTAGGAAGGCCTGGCGTGACAGTCTGGTTAGGAAGGCCTGGCGTGACAGTCTGGTTAGGAAGGCCTGGCGTGACAGTCTGGTTAGGAAGGCCTGGCGTGACAGTCTGGTTAGGAAGGCCTGGTTTGACAGTCTTGTTAGGAAGGCCTGGCGTGACAGTCTGGTTAGGAAGGCCTGGTTTGACAGTCTGGTTAGGAAGGCCTGGCGTGACAGTCTGGTTAGGAAGGCCTGGCGTGACAGTCTGGTTAGGAAGGCCTGGCGTGACAGTCTGGTTAGGAAGGCCTGGTTGGACACAGTCTGGTTAGGAAGGCCTGGCGTGACAGTCTTGTTAGGAAGGCGTGGTGTGACACAGTCTGGTTAGGAAGGCGTGGTGTGACAGTCTTGTTAGGAAGGCCTGGCGTGACAGTCTTGTTAGGAAGGCCTGGCGTGACAGTCTGGTTAGGAAGGCCTGGCGTGACAGTCTGGTTAGGAAGGCCTGGCGTGACAGTCTGTTAGGAAGGCCTGGCGTGACAGTCTGGTTAGGAAGGCCTGGCGTGACCGTCTGGTTAGGAAGGCCTGGCGTGACAGTCTTGTTAGGAAGGCCTGGCGTGACAGTCTTGTTAGGAAGGCCTGGCGTGACAGTCTGGTTAGGAAGGCCTGGCGTGACAGTCTGGTTAGGAAGGCGTGGGGCAACACAGACTTCACTTTAAGCAAATGATGGTGGACTTATGAAAAAATGCATTACAAAAAATGTAATAATCATATTACTACACTGCTACTAGACTGACAATTTTAAATTCTCATTATGGCATTTAATTTGCGAGAGAGAGAGAGAGATCAAAGTCACATGGCATCATTTCATCATGCATTGAAAATATTGCACTGATACTCCTCAGGGGTTTAGGGAAAGTTAATCTAGGTTAATTTAACCTGATAAAGGGATCGTATTCATACAAAGGGACATTCTGTTCTGTTAAATAAAGAGGGACAGTCTATAGTTTTGATGGTAGGTTTATTTGAACAGTGAGAGACAGAATAACAACTAAAAAATCCAGAAAAACGCATGTCAAAAATGTTATAAATTGATTTGCATTTTAATGAGGGAAATAAGTATTTGACCCCCCTCTCAATCAGAAAGATTTCTGGCTCCCAGGTGTCTTTTATACAGGTAACGAGCTGAGATTAGGAGCACACTCTTAAAGGGAGTGCTCCTAATCTCAGCTTGTTACCTGTATAAAAGACAGCTGTCCAAAGAAGCAATCAATCAGATTCCAAACTCTCCACCATGGCCAAGACCAAAGAGCTCTCCAATGATGTCAGGGACAAGATTGTAGACCTACACAAGGCTGGAATGGGCTACAAGACCATCGCCAAGCAGCTTGGTGAGAAGGTGACAACAGTTGGTGCGATTATTCGCAAATGGAAGAAACACAAAAGAACTGTCAATCTCCCTCGGCCTGGGGCTCCATGCAAGCTATCACCTCGTGGAGTTGCAATGATGATGAGAATGGTGAGGAATCAGCCCAGAACTACACAGGAGGATCTTGTCAATGATCTCAAGGCAGCTGGGACCATAGACACCAAGAAAACAGTTGGTAACACACTACGCCATGAAGGACTGAAATCCTGCAGCACCCGCAAGGTCCCCCTGCTCAAGAAAGCACATATACAGGCCCGTCTGAAGTTTGCCAATGAACATCTGAATGATTCAGAGGAGAACTGGTTGAAAGTGTTGTGGTCAGATGAGACCAAAATGGAGCTCTTTGCCATCAACTCAACTCGCCGTGTTTGGAGGAGGAGGAATGCTGCCTATGACCCCAAGAACACCATCCCCACTGTCAAACATGGAGGTGGAAACATTATGCTTTGGGGGTGTTTTTCTGCTAAGGGGACAGGACAACTTCACCGCATGAAAGGGACGATGGACGGGGCCCATGTACCGTCAAATCTTGGGTGAGAACCTCCTTCCCTCAGCCAGGGCATTGAAAATGGGTCGTGGATGGGTATTCCAGCATGACAGTGACCCAAAACACACGGCCAAGGCAACAAAGGAGTGGCTCAAGAAGAAGCACATTAAGGTCCTGGAGGGGCCTAGCCAGTCTCCAGACCTTAATCCCATAGAAAATCTGTGGAGGGAGCTGAAGGTTTGAGTTGCCAAACGTCAGCCTCGAAACCTTAATGACTTGGAGAAGATCTGCAAAGAGGAGTGCGTTTTTCTGGATTTTGTTGTTGTTATACTGTCTCTCACTGTTCAAATAAACCTACCATTAAAATTATAGACTGATAATTTCTTTGTCAGTGGGCAAACGTACAAAATCAGCAGGGGATCAAATACTTTTTTCCCTCACTGTAGATAGACTATCTAAACAGAGGATCTGCCAGAGAAACATATTAGGGGGACGGACACGTGACTGGTGGATGCAGAGAAGGGAGCTCTTTTGGTTTATAATAAGAAGTAAAAAAAAACAGCTTTTAAATTTCTTTTAAAAATGAATTGATGTGGTTACTTATTTATTGTCACAGCAACTGATATTTGGTTATTGGTAACCTTAAAGCCACCCCAAACCAGACGAAAACAAAGTAGGTTTACCTCGGTCGTTGTAATGCCTCTTGATAGTGGAACCTTCTGGAACCTGACCTATACGATGCCTGGATAATAAGTAGTGGATTTCATAGATTCATGCTTAGCTTGACTGACTACAGGCTCACCTGGTCACATGTGCCATAACCAGGTGCATTCAATGAGATATTAACTAACCAAGAAATGATCTAACATACAGTGAATGAACTCACTATTTTAACACAGTTATATTTTTTTCATTGGATTGTACTTTAACTCAAATATATAAAAATAATGTACACATGTGATGAACAGTTGCTGAGTATTTCAAAAGGGCTGCTTACCTCAACTGCCTCCCTGATAGGCTTACCTGGTCACTGTGTCATAAGCTGTTGATTCTATGAGATTTATGCGAGTTTGTTTTTGTGACAAAATGACTAACATTTAACACTCTGTGACATTTTTCTAACACTTCATTACCTAAAATGTATAAAATCTCATGAACACTTCATTAACTAAAATATGTAAAATCTGATTATGAAATGTATATCTGAACAAAAATATAACTATTAAGAAAAGGACAATAAAACAAATGACTTAGACTAGAAATGTCTCCTGTTTGATTAATTTGTTTCAATAGCTCAAATCAGTGAGGTTGAATAAGGCCTTGTGTGCTGTATGTCAACAATACAAAACAGTAGTAGTAGTATTAGTAGTATTAGTAGTAGTAGTAGTAGTATTGGTAGTAGTAGGAGTAGTAGTAGTATTGGTAGTAGTAGTATTAGTAGTAGTAGTAGTAGTAGTAGTATTGGTAGTAGTAGTATTGGTAGTAGTAGTATTAGTAGTAGTAGTAGTAGTAGTATTGTGGTAGTAGTAGTTAGTATTAGTATTGGTAGTGTAGTATGGTAGTAGTATTGTAGTAGTAGTAGTTGGTAGTAGTAGTAGTTGTGTGTAGTAGTAGTAGTAGTATTGGGTAGTAGTTGAGTAGTAGTAGTAGTATTGGTGTAGTAGTTAGTAGTAGTAGTATTGGGTAGTAGTAGTAGTATGGTATGTAGTAGTATTGGTTGTAGTAGTAGTATTGGTAGTTACGTAGTCAGGGTGGGTGGTATAGTGGTATGGGGTCACGGTCAGTAGTGTTGGTGGTGTTACGTCAGTATGGGGGGTGTACTCGGTCAGGTGTAGTGGGGGATACTACAGTCAGGTAGTGTGGTGGGATACTACAGGTCAGGGTAGTGGGGGGGTGTACTACAGGTCAGGGTAGTGGGGGGGATACTACAGGTAGGGTTGGTTGGGGGGGACTACAGGTCAGGGTAGTGGGGGGGGATACTACAGGTCAGGTGTGGTAGTGGGGGGGATACTACAGGTCAGGGTAGTGGGGGGGATACTACAGGTCAGGGTAGTGGGGGGGATACTACAGGTCAGGGTAGTGGGGGGGATACTACAGGTCAGGGTAGTGGGGGGGGATACTACAGGTCAGGGTAGTGGGGGGGGGGTACTACAGGTCAGGGTAGTGGGGGGGGATACTACAGGTCAGGGTAGTGGGGGGGATACTACAGGTCAGGGTATGTGGGGGGGGGGGATACTACAGGTCAGGGTAGTGGGGGGGATACTACAGGTCAGGGTAGTGGGGGTACTACAGGTCAGGGTAGTGGGGGGGGGTACTACAGGTCAGGGTAGTGGGGGGGGGATACTACAGGTCAGGGTAGTGGGGGGGGGAAGTACTACAGGTCAGGGTAGTGGGGGGGATACTACAGGTCAGGGTAGTGGGGGGGGGATGGACTAACAGGTCAGGGTAGTGGGGGGGATACTACAGGTCAGGGTAGTGGGGGGGGATACTACAGGTCAGGGTAGTGGGGGGGGATACTACAGGTCAGGGTAGTGGGGGGGGGTACTACAGGTCAGGGTGTAGGGGGGGGGGATACTACGGTCAGGGTAGTGGGGGGGGATACTACAGGTCAGGGTAGTGGGGGGGGATACTACAGGTCAGGGTATGGGGGGGGATACTACAGGTCAGGGTAGTGGGGGGGGGATACTACAGGTCAGGGTAGTGGGGGGGGTGGGGGGGGATACTACAGGTCAGGGTAGTGGGGGGGGGTACTACAGGTCAGGGTAGTGGGGGGGGGGATACTACAGGTCAGGGTAGTGGGGGGGGATACTACAGGTCAGGGTTAGTGGGGGGGATACTACAGGTCAGGGTAGTGGGGGGGGGATACTACAGGTCAGGGTAGTGGGGGGGGGATACTACAGGTCAGGGTAGTGGGGGGGGGGATACTACAGGTCAGGGTAGTGGGGGGGGGATACTACAGGTCAGGGTAGTGGGGGCGGGTGGGGGGGATACTACAGGTCGGAGTGGGGGGGATACTACAGGTCAGGGTGGGGGGGGATACTACAGGTCAGGGTAGTGGGGGGGGATACTACAGGTCAGGGTAGTGGGGGGTCTACAGGTCAGGGTAGGGGGGGATACTACAGGTCAGGGTAGTGGGGGGGGATACTACAGGTCAGGGTAGTGGGGGGGGATACTACAGGTCAGGGTAGTGGGGGGGGATACTACAGGTCAGGGTAGTGGGGGGGATACTACAGGTCAGGGTAGTGGGGGGGGATACTGACCAGGTCAGGGTAGTGGGGGGGATACTACAGGTCAGGGTAGTGGGGGGGGATACTACAGGTCAGGGTAGTGGGGGGGGATACTACAGGTCAGGGTAGTGGGGGGGGATACTACAGGTCAGGGTAGTGGGGGGGGGATACTACAGGTCAGGGTAGTGGGGGGGATACTACAGGTCAGGGTAGTGGGGGGGGATACTACAGGTCAGGGTAGTGGGGGGGGATACTACAGGTCAGGGTAGTGGGGGGGATACTACAGGTCAGGGTAGTGGGGGGGGGGTACTACAGGTCAGGGTAGTGGGGGGGGATACTACAGGTCAGGGTAGTGGGGGGGATACTACAGGTCAGGGTAGTGGGGGGGGGGATACTACAGGTCAGGGTAGTGGGGGGGGATACTACAGGTCAGGGTAGTGGGGGGGGATACTACAGGTCAGGGTAGTGGGGGGGGGATACTACAGGTCATGGGTAGTGGGGGGGGGATACTACAGGTCAGGGTAGTGGGGGGGATACTACGGAAGGTCAGGGTAAGTGGGGGGGGGATA